GGGACTACAGGCGCCCGCCACCACACCCAGCTGTTTTTTTGTAGTTTTAGTAGAGATGGGGTTTCACCGTGTTAGCCAGGATGGCCTCGATCTCCTGACCTCGTGATCCGCCCGCCTCGGCCTCCCAAAGTGCTGGGATTACAGGCATGAACCACCGCGCCCGGCCTTGTTTTAGTTTTTTAGAGAGGATTTATCTCCGTTTGGGGACCAGACACAGGCATTCCCATCCAGGTCTTCTAGTCTCCCTAGAATAAATGTAACCCAGTGCATGGGAAAATGTGTGTATTTGAAAGGCTATTCCCAACCTTATTTTGGAATTCCTTTTGTGGAATTCTTTTTTCAGAGTCAATTTATGGGGCATACCAAACCACTCTGTAGTCGTGCTTCCAATATCAGTTAGAAAAACCTTCGGCTACAAGAAGCATAAAACCCACTGTTGTGGTTCAGACAAATAGGGGGCAAGTTCTTCTTTTATAACAAGAAAACTAGAGGTAGATAGCCCGGGGCTAGTGTAACTTTAATAATGCCCTTGGAGAGCTAGACTCACACTGTGCTCTGCTCTGCACTCTCCTGTGCTGACTTTCATCTTGAACCTGCAGCCTTGGGATTGCAAGCTGGCTCTGCACCTCCAAGCACAATGTGGACTTTCCAGATGGGGACAAGGGGGAAGGGCAATGGGCAAAAAATACTGCCAGCCAAGCCTGCTCTACTTCATCAGGACATGGAAACCTTCCCTAAATTCCCACGGAGTGCATCTCTGCTTAAAGCACATGAGTGAGGACTAACTCCTGAGCAGCGCCAGCTGGAAGGTAGCTGGGAGGAGGGACTTGTCTATCAAGGTATTTCCCAGTGTTTTTTGTCCACCTTATTCACCACCTAACTAGTATCTTAAAGCCTCCTGACTGCTTTTGAAATTTAAAAAATTGAAAATTAGCCAGGTGTAGTAGCTCATGCTTGTAATTGCAGCACTTAGAGAGGCCAAGGTGGGAGGACTGCTTGAGGCTGGGAGTTCAGGATCAGCGTGGGCAACATAGTGAGACCCCATCTCTGTATTTTTAAAAAATAGCTGGGCATGGTGGCACATTCCTGTAGTCCCAGCAATTTGGGGGGCTGAGGTGGGAGGACTGCGTGAGCCCAGGAGGTCAAGGCTGCAGTGAGCTGTGGTTGCTCATCTGGGCAACAGAGGGAGACCTTGTCTCAAAACAAAACAAAACAAAACAAACAAAACAAAACCTATGCTCCAAGATCAAAGCTGTTTTTCTGCTGGCAGGTCCCCAAACAAGTTTCTGAAATGTGAACAACAGAGTAAATGTCCATCTTCCAGGGAACTCTGAAGGGAAGCACATTTGGACATATTCCTTTGAAAACGCATTCTCGTCATGACAATCCATTCACACTTCATGCAGTAACTGACAAGGATCCAAAAGCCTACACAGCCACGGCATCTCCTCGAGCCTCTGTGCTTGCTTGCAAGAGCTGGGTAGACCCTGTGAAATGTCAGGAGTGAGGTAGATGAAGAGAAAATTAAACTCTCCTCCAGCTGGGCCACCTCTTTGATGTCAGCAACGGAGGGACATTTTGTTGCCGTGACTTGAATTGTAATATCTAGGGAGTGCTCTGGGTGGGCTGTCGGAAGAAGCTTAGACAGGGAGCCAGAACCTTCACATCAGAAGGGAACCAGGACCACGCCCAGTAATGAGGGCTATATGGCCGCTCTGATCTCTTTGAGAAGCCACTTGCTTTAGAGGTGTTACAGAGCAGTCGCCCCCCTTCACTCCCCAGAAGACTGGGCTTCTGTGCTTGGCTTACCTTGTTTATGTCCCACTGCCTGATGCTGGTGGAAGTGAAATCTGTCAGGTTCGATGCAGATTCTTGTTGAATGTCACTTCCCTACAGACCTGGGAGGTTGAGGTGCAAATATATGTAAGATGCTGTTGGAGATTTGCAGAAGAACAAAATATGATTCATTGATTCATGTGGTCATCTGCTTATTTGTTTTTATTCATCAAACATCTGTTGAGCTGCTTATATGTGTCAGCCGCCTGCTGGGGATGCCGAGATGAGTGAATCCACATTGCTGCTTTGCAAGAAGAGGTCAGAGAGTGAGAGAGAGAGGGTGGGGGAGAGAGATAAACAGATGTACTCAAGTGGCCTTAGAACTTGCTGGAGAGGTGTGAAGAGGAAGGGCTTGGCGCTGGTGAGACAGGCCAGGGGCAGGGGTAAGGAAAGCTCTGCCAAGGAGTTGATGCATAAATGGGGTTTTGAGGCCACTCTGGGTGTGAATCGTGATCTGAGGCAGCTTGTGATAACTCTGTGAGAGAAGCGTAAATAAGGTCTTTAGGACACATACAAAAAAGAAGTGACTTCTGGCTGGAGGGTAGGAGGTATCAGAGAAAGCTTCATGGAGAAGGGGTAAGATTCAGCAAGAAGTTTGCAAGCAGAGGGAACAAACAAGAAAAACCACATCAGTGAAAAAGACCAGGGTATGTTTTGTACATATCCAAGTTTGATTGGGAGATTAGATTCATAGCGGGGAGCGTAATAGGAAAAAGACTGGAGAAGTAGGTTGGAGTCATATTGTGAAGGGTGTTGATGCCCTGTTAGATTGCATTTCATTGGTGAGCAATGGAGGACAGTTGCAAGATTTCGAGCAGGGGAGTGACATGATCACAGGTGTTCATAGAAGAAAACTGGGCTGAGAGGAGTTGGGTGGGAGGAGGAAAGTGTGTTATTTTGCTCAACCTTTCGAAGTTGCCTTTTAATAAGATACAGCCCTGCTTGAGGCTTCTTTGGTGAGAAGCAACATAACTCATGCCAGTCCAACCACATCAACTCTGTTTCTCTCAGCTACCAGGTCTAGTCTCACCTAGGAGCCCTGTTGCCATTAGGAAGATAGTGTTTGTCTGTGAAGGAGAGCCTGGTGAGAGAGTGAGGCAGGAAGCAGGTTGCCTCCTGGATCAGAAAAGATCTTCAAAAAGTAATATGACCAGGCATGGTGGCTTGCACCTGTAATCCTAGCACTTTGGGAGGCTAAGATAGGAGGATCACTTGAGTCCAGGAGTTCAAGACCAGCCTGGGCAACATAGCAGGATCCCGTCTCTATGAAAACATTTTTAAAAATTAACCAGGCATGGCATGCACCTGTAGTTTCAGTGACTCAGGAGACTGAGGTGGGAGAATGACTTGAGACTAGGAGGTTGGGGCTGCAACGAGTCATGATGGTGCTACTGTACTCCAGCCTGGGCAACAGAGCAAGACCCTGTCTCTTAGAAGAAAAAGAAAGTAAATGAGTATCTGTGTGTGTGAGACAGAGAGAGAGAGCGAGAGAGCGCGAGAGTGCGCGCGCGAGAGAGAAAGAGAGGAATTAATTAATTTGGGGTCAGATCATGAACCTCTTTGTTGGGAAAGATCCACGCAGACAGAGGCCAGGGCTTTCTAGGCTGACCTGGTGATGCAGCAATTCTGAGTGATGATGAAGATGATGGCTCCTCAGATGTGGGTTCCTGGCTTACTGCTTGCTCAGGCAACAGGTTTTCTGAGAAAACCATAATGTGTTCACACTTACAATATGTATGTAGCTCTGGCCACAGTGTTAAAAGAAAACTTAGAGTGAGACAAGGTCCACAAATGGTCTCTAAAAGGTTGAAGGGCCTTACTTCTGAACACACATTGAAAAGATTCAGATCTTTTATATGGAAAAGATAAAGGCTGAAATGCACAGGCAGGATTTTGGAGCTGTTTGAATGGAATGAATAGGAGAAATAGGGACTTGTTCACCAAATCTTAGACTACTAGAGCTAGGGATCTACAGTGGAGGTGGAAAGAAGCAGTACCAGGCCAGAAAGATGCCATAGCCTTTCACACGATGAAAAGCACACTTGAGGACACTGAGACCTCAGAGGTTGATGTGAAATAAGCAAATAAGTAGAAGTGAGCAAAGTTACGTCACTTCCAAGATGACAGATTTGCCATAGGATGCTAAGGTAGGCAGTGGAGGCCTGGAGCCTGTGCTGCTTCTTTTGAAGTTGACACTGCAAGGGACAACGATGGCTCCCAGGGAAGCACCACTCAGTGGCATCAGTGTGGTGGGTCCCAACTTGCACAGAAAGGGGTTTTCTGTTTTCTTCTGCATTTCCTTGAATCTCCAATGTGACCAACATCAAACCGCAGGATTTGTAACCTCTCTTGACTTTTATTTCTTCTGCCTCAAATTATGATGATTTAATGCTAAGCAATATCTCAAGGGAGTTTTAAGCAATGAGGCATCAAGGCTCTCCTCGTGAACTCTGAAACAAGAAAGGGCAATACTGTAAACAGATCACGCAGAGCCAGCTCTCCATTATCCAAGGTCAGGAGGGGCAAGGAACACACACACACACACACACACAGACACACACACACACACAGACACACACACACTCTTACATGTACACATCGTAGATTGGATTAACAGCTTCAATATTTCCCTCAACCAACTTAATCAGAGCTGCTAATAAGGGGCCAAACGGACTTGACTTCTCTTCTCTTCTCTTCTCTTCTCTTCTCTTCTCTTCTCTTCTCTTCTCTTCTCTTCTCTTCTCTTCTCTTCTCTTCTCTTCTCTCCTCTCCTCTCCTCTCCTCTCCTCTCCTCTCCTCTCCTCTCCTCTCTCCTCTCCTCTCCTCTCCTTTCCTCTCCTCTCCTCTTTTCTTTTCTTTTTTCTTTGTTTTCTTTTCTCTTCCACTCCACTGGCTGAGTGTGTAGGAGTGGGGAAATGATCAGCATGTGGGGGAGGGGCAGCCACAGGGAGGAGCAAAGGATGGACTCCCGAGTAAACAAATCCCAGGGAGGCAGGGGAAGCTGATGACTGCAGGTGCATTTCCAGCACCAGAAGAGGAGACTCTACCTGACTTAGAAGGGAATGGGGCAACGCGGGCTCTGGGTTAAATGGGACAGGGTCAGAGAACGCAGGGCCCCTGCAGGCTGGGCCTGACCAATCTGTGTCCCCCGTGACATTGTGCAGGTGACTGCTGGCTTCTGGCTGCCATTGCCTCCCTGACCCTGAATGAAGAGCTGCTTTACCGGGTGGTCCCCAGGGACCAGAACTTCCAGGAGAACTATGCGGGAATCTTTCACTTTCAGGTACTGTGCTCTGCTCAGGCCCTTTGTCGCTGCTTTCCGTACCCTTAGGTCCCACCGCAGATCCACTGCATCAGAAATTCTGGGTTTGGGGCACAGTGATCTATGTCTTAACAATCCCTCTAGGTGACTCTGATGCACATTTCAGTCTAAGTACCTACCTCAATGCATCCTTCCAGATATCCACACATCCACCCCGTTCCCAGCTCCCCCAGGCCAGGTGGCCTTGAGGAAAGCACTGTAGACTTGAGGGTCAGGAGGTGTGGGTCTGAATCACTTCCTGCTGCCACTGGGTGGCGCTGGGCAAGTTCTCTGGTGCACAAACGCAGACTCTAGACTAGATGTTCCCGGGTTCATCTGGCATCTCCTATGTGCACAGATAAGGCAGACACAGGTCCTGCTCCTACGGAGCCAAGATTTGAACACTGATGGCACAGAGTCCCCACGTGAGGTCCCCTGGAGGGACTCCCTTTACACATCTGCTTATTCATGTGAGCTGCCGCTGTGTCGCCTCTCCCCAGTTCTGGCAGTACGGAGAGTGGGTGGAAGTGGTCATTGACGACAGGCTGCCCACCAAGAATGGACAGCTGCTCTTCCTACACTCGGAGCAAGGCAATGAATTCTGGAGTGCCCTGCTGGAGAAAGCCTATGCCAAGTAAGTGGGGGAAGCCAGGAGCTGGGAGACACTGGAGCCTCCCTGAAAGCTCTCACCTGTCCCTCCCACGTCTGCCTCCCCACCCCAAACTCAGGGCGTCATGGCCACGTCTTTCCCAGCATCCAGACCCCCATGAGCTGGAGAGAGAGCACTTTTCAGTAACAGAAACAGAAATCTGGGCGGAGAGTTTAGCATCTCAGCTCTGCCTCGGGTGAATGTGTATGTGGTGGGGCGAGCCTCCCTGCTCCTCTGGGCCTGAGCTTTTCCTCTTTCAAATCCCAAGGTAGGTTCCTGGGGCAATGTAAATGTTTGAAAGAATGATGAAGAATAATAAAACAAATGTACTAGATAGCAAACTCAACAAAGTGTCTGCTCTTTCCTCAGGAGTTCTTCTCACCGGTGTTTGATGTTCAAAACCTTCTTTGGGGTTCTTTTAATTATATTTGTTTACTGATATCCTTTTCTGCAACCCCAGTTCCTTTCTAGTCCTATTTCCCAGTAAGCCTCAGCAGATGCCTCTCAGCCTTAAGGGAAAGTTCTCCTTCTCCCCATCTGTGGCCCCAGCCCCAGAAACCCAAGCAGCTGGGGCCAGCTCTAGAGGGATTGCCTTTGGCTTTGTAAAGGAGAGGGTGGCTGGAGAGAGGTTGGCTGAGGTCAGTTCCTAGTGAAGTGCTGAGCTGGGCACACGAAACAGTGGCCTAAGCACCTTCCTGGCCCAAAGGCAAAATTGGCAAAGAGCCCTCCTTTATCTTCCAGGCCACAGTGCGTCCTAGCACTGTCCCAGTCCCCAATCCCTGGGTCTCCTTGCTGGGGGTGCTAATGGGGCATGTGTTCTTTCTTTTCCAATAGGCTCAATGGTTGTTATGAGGCTCTCGCTGGAGGTTCCACAGTGGAGGGGTTTGAGGATTTCACAGGTGGCATCTCTGAGTTTTATGACCTGAAGAAACCACCAGCCAATCTATATCAGATCATCAGGAAGGCCCTCCGTGCGGGGTCTCTGCTGGGCTGCTCCATTGATGTGAGGCATATGGCTTCTGTACTGCCCCATCTCCCCACCACGGCCACCCCTTGTGTGGTAGGGAAGGGACGAGACAGCGGGAAAGAGGCATAGGAAGGCTTTGGGTCAGAGCAGAGTCTGGGGCTTAGTGGGCAAGTCTGGTGACACATAGGCCTGCATATGTAGGGGCTGGTGAAGACCTAATTGGTAGGTAGGAACTGGGGTTAGTTGCATTGCGGGAGTCCCAATTTCCCTCTCGCTGTTAAAGCCCCTTCAGTACTGCTGGAATGGTCCTAAGAACATAGTTTAGGATCCCTGGATCCTTGGCCACCCGTTTGCTACGTCCTTTTTGCTAAATAATCTTGAGGTTTTGGAAAACAAATGTGATGCTTGATGATACCTGATGGATCTTGAGATCCCTGAAGAAAAGAGAAGTTCTGAAACCAGAGGCTGTGGCCGGACACCAGGCTGAGCTGTGTGGATTTCCAAGGTGGCTGTGGAAACCAGAGACTGGAGGCCCCCAGCCCTGAGGTCCTGTCACCACCTCAGCCTCCTGTGACCAGCTGCCTTCTGGCTGCTCTGTCTTCCTCTCTTGTCCTTATCTGGTGATTTTAGAAATGTGAAAGACAAAGTGAGAAGATCCTCCTTTTTTCCTCTCTCTGCAAACCCCAGCAGGAGACGTGTGTTTTTGGTGGAGGGGTGGCATGGGAGAGAGCGTGCTGAGGAAATGGGAAGGATAATGAGGAGTCCGCTCAGGGAGAACCTTGGAGGACTGGGACCTGTCCAGAGCCATCAGCATGGAGAATTAGCCTTCTTCAGGCAGCCGGGGGTCACTCTCAGAGAATAAATGACTTCCCAGTTTCTTGGTGGCATTTTGAAGGCTGGTAACTTGTCTTCCAGGCTTGGCAGGCACCTGCACTGGCCCGGAACTGCAGGACTAATTAAAGAGGGAGTCTGGTTGGAGATGGCTCTATTTACCTGAGGTTCATTGCCACTCCTGCACCCCTCGTCCCACACTGAAGCCCCCAGTGGCTGTGTAGTGTGTCCTTGGAAAGCATTCTATGGCCAGCCATAGAGAGGTAAGGGTCTGGCCATTACTGAGAGGTAAGGGTCAGCCACTCTGAATGAACTTTCTCCTCTACCTAGGTCTCCAGTGCAGCTGAAGCAGAAGCCATCACCAGCCAGAAGCTGGTTAAGAGTCACGCATACTCTGTCACTGGAATTGAAGAGGTAAAATTTTGTGTGTGTAGGGACAAGGTAACATGTGATAATATTTCCATGAATCCAAGCCATCCTGGCAGGAAGAAAGAGGTGATTACTACTAGAAGGTTCAGAATTGGCTTTTGAGCTTCACTGTCATGTTGGGGTGCACTCCGCCTGTGCAGAACCCCGATACCACAGATGTGCATTAGCTCTTGCTAATTAGAACAGCTCTTCTGGCCAGGTGTTGTGGCTCATACCTGTAATCCCAGCACTTTGGGAGTCTGAAGTGGGAAGATTACTTGAGACCAGGAGTTCAAGGCCATTCCTGGGCAACATAGTAAGACCTCATCGCTACAAAAAAGTATTTTTTTCCCCCTAAAACATAAAAAATAAATACAGGCTCTTCTGACTCTTACTCACTTGAAGATGGACAACGTAACCTCTCTGAGCTTTTGCTCAATAGGTTTTAACTAAATGCAAGCCCTCTCCTTGGATGAGGCCAGCAAAGCTGTAGAGATTTTCAGTTAGATTCTACAGACATTCGAAAAAATATGTTTGTGTGGGCAAAACAGTGGGAACTCACAGAATCCCCAAATGGGAAAAGGGGCAGTAGTCCCAGCTTTTAGGGTGGAGTAGAGTCATGGAAAGGCAAGCAAGTATTCCTTACTCTCCAACCCAAGGAAAAAACAAGGGCTATACTATTCATTATTTTTATTTTCTACATTGTGTCTTCTTTCAAAAAGGATTTAAGGTGGCTTACAATTATTTTATTTATTTATGTATTTATTTATATATCTATTTATTTAGAGATAGGGTCTTGCTCCTTTGCCTGGGTTGGACTGCAGTTGCATGATCTTGGCTCAGTCTCGACCTCCTGGGCTCAAGTGACCCTCCTGCTTCAGTCTCCCAAGTAGCTGGGACTACAGGCAAGTGCCATCACGCCTGGCTAATTATTAATTTTTTAAAATTTTCATAGAGGCACCATCTCTTTATGTTGCCCAGGCTGGTCTTGAACTCCTGGGTTCAAGCGATCCTCCTGCCTTGGCCTCCCGAAGTGTTGAAATTACAGGTTTGAGCCACCATGCCCAGCTGATGGTTTACCATTAAAAGAATAGACACAATAAAACCATATAAGTACAGTAAAATACATCAATCCAGGCTGAAGGCAGTGCTATAATTGAGAAATTAATTTTGCTTTGGGCTTCCCAATGGCCAAGGCAGAAAGGGAAATGCAGTGAATGTCCCACTTCTTGCTATTTATTTAAGTGAAATAGGCCAGGCATGGTAGGGCGTGCCTGTAGTTCCAGCTACTCAGGAGGTTGAGGTGAGAGGATCGCTTGAGCCCGGGTAGTTGAGCCTGCAGTGATCGCACCACTTCACTCCTGCCTAGGTGGCAGAGAGAGGCCCTGTCTCAAAAATAAATAAATAAATAGTGTTAAATGAAATATATGTTCTTTACATGTGTTTGTGTTTCATAGATACGCATTTTTTTTTTTTTTTTTTTAGATGGAGTCTCTCTCTGTTGCCAGGCTGGAGTGCAGTGGCACAATCTTGGCTCACTGCAACCTCCGACTCCCTGGTTCAAGTGATTTTCCTGCCTCAGCCTCCTGAGTAGCTGGGATTACAGGCATGCACCACCACACCCAGCTAATTTTTTTTTTGTATTTTTAGTAGCAACGGGGTTTCACCATGTTGGCTAGGATGGTCTCAGTCTCTCGACCTCGTGATATGCTGCCTTGGCCTCCCAAAGTGCTGGGATTACAGGCATGAGCCACTGCGCCCAGCCCAAATACGCTCTTTAATGAAGTTAATCTCATAAACGGGAATTGAACATATACATGTAAACATTGGGCCAGGCGAGTTGGGGGATACACAGGAAATGAAGACAATGAGGACCTAACAGCTTATGCAGTTGGTGTGTGCATATGTGAATGCAGGTGTGTGTGCAGGGCGCAAGGGGCTTATGCTTGAGTGTTCAATAAATAGGGGAAAGCAGTATATGTGGATTTAGAAGTGTGGGCTTTGGAGACAGACTGCCTGGGTTCCCAGCCTGCGCTCACCACTTACTAACTAGATAATCTTGGATAACATAACTTCTTTAAGTCTCAGATTTTTGAGCTATGAAATGAAGATAATTCTTTATCTTTTCAGGATTGTCGTGAGTGTTAAATGAGGCAATAACGCATCTTAAATGCTTAGCCCAACACCTCATCTATAGTACCTGCTCAATAAATGTTAACTGCCATGCTTTGGGGTTTGTTGGGAGGGTGTTTATTATCATTAGGCCTCATGTATTAAGAGCTCAGTCAATCTTAGTCAACTATAAAATCTAAATCTGAGTTAAAGCAGACATAAGCTTGTTTTTGGGTTAGACTCACTCTTCATTTATTCAAACAAATTATGAAAAATAGAGTACTTGGCTCAAGCCTGAAAAGATGCATTAAGGGAAAATAAAAGTGTGGTCCTTTAGGAACATTTGAACAATTTAATGCAGATCCTCTCAGGTGCAGACATGCCTGCAAGGCAACAGGAACATAGTAATTCAGCTGCTTTTCTGTGTGGAATTTGCAGGTGGATTTCCAGGGCCATCCAGAGAGGCTGATCAGACTCAGGAATCCATGGGGTGAAGTGGAGTGGTCGGGAGCCTGGAGTGATGAGTAGGTTTTTTCCCTGCTTCTCCAATCCTCTCTCCCTCTGCGGAAGGGTGTCGTGTAAAACACGCAATTATGAGAACGATGTCACAGTGAGTTCAGCAGCACGTCCTGTCTGCAGATCACACAGTGTGTTCAGCAAAGAGTATTAAATGGATCCAGGCTGAGGAAAGCAAAATAAAAGCCACTGGGCTGTAGTCTTCGATTCTGGCTTTCTGCTTTGGCATTTGAAAGTTTGGCGGCTCTGTGGAATTTTGCTTTGCGCTGAAAGGTTTTTGTGTTTTTTTACCTGACACACTGTGCTGGTCCAAAGGTCAAATCGATCACTCACAGTCTGTTTCTTTCCACTCCACAAACACTGGACACTCTGACAAAGGCCAAATCCCTCAGCACCAAGAAGAAACAAGGATGCTGAGAAAATGAAATTTGACCCTTGGAGCCCTGGGCCCTGGCAGCAGTGATGAATGAGGCAGTGGCACTCGCTCCTGCCCTGTGCAGGTTTCATCACTGACTGGAGAGACTCCTCTTGGGCGGGCCTCTTTGCTGAGTCGGTCAGAGGTGGTGATGTCCCAGGACAGCTGTGTCCTAGAATCTATGTCCCCATGATGCAGGAGGGTGGAAAGCATAGGATGGTTTCTGTCCAGTAAGCACAGCTGGCCTGGGGGAGGCAGGTTAGTGTGGGGGAGGAATTAGAATTAGCCAGTCTCGGCCGGGTATAGTGGCTTACGCCTGTAATCCTAACACTTTGGGAGGCCTAGGCAGGTGGATCACTTGAGCTCAGGAGTTCGAGACCAGCCTGACCAACATGGTGAAACCCTGTCTTTACTAAAAATACAAAAATTAGCTGGAAGTCACTTGAACCAAGGAGGCGGAGATTGCAGTGAGCTGAGGTTGTGCCGCCGCACTCCAGCCTGGGCAACAGAGCGAGACTCCGTTTAAATAATGATGATAATAATAATAATAATAATTAGCCAGTCTCATGGACAAAGAACCACCAGAAATGAAATTGGTCACAATAATGTCCCCTCCCAATATATCCTTAATCCTTAAGTGCTGTCGGTACTCTGTGATGCCACCAGGGCTCTCTAAGGGCATCACCACATTTAATCACAGCATCGTGACTGGTCATGACTGCACAGAGGTGTAGTAACTCCCTTCAGGGTTGTGTCATGAAGAAACACATGTCTCTAGGGCCACACATGAGCTTCCTGTAGGAAGGATTTTTCATTCCACTGCCTAAGTTTGAGCAAAACCCAAAACCTCCGTTCCGCCAACTTCCCTAAAAGGATGATAGGGCTATGTGAAATTGAAACCCTGAATTTGGGTCATCCTTACCAAAAGTCACTTACCGAGTTGTCCAAAGGGCTTGTTTGACTTTCTCTCCTTTCCCTGAGCACCCGCTGCCTGGCAGGTGGGAGGTGGTGACTGTCAAGGCCTGGAGGCCCCACCAGCTGGAGATGCAACCTGGGATAGTTACATATATCAGCTATCGGAGAAGGAGGGCGCTGAATCTCTAAGGCGACATCCCTAAGCTCAGCTCAGGGATTAGTGAGATTTTATTTAAAAAAAAAAAAAAGTTTAAAAAAAACCAAAACCAATTGGAGCAGTAGGTCAGATCTAGAATTTTCCAACTCCTGCCCTAATCTTTGTTTATAACAAGCACATTCTGAGATTTGGTTTTAATCAAATTAATGTTTCAATGAATTGAAGAGGCCCTGGGAACTGTCCTGCTGACCCCCGGGGTCTTAAAGCCTAGCTTGGAGGGAGAGGCTGGGCTGGAGTGCGCCCAGCTTTATGCTGGGGAGAGAAGGTGCTTAGGTTTTGCAGAAGGTATTCAAGCAGGGATTTATTTTTTTATTTTTATTTTTTAAGGTGGATCTTGCTGCTGCTCTGTTACTTAGATGTCACATACCTATTTCAGGAAAACCTAACTTTGTAAAGGTCAGGAAGCTGGAGATGGCATTTGAACAAAGTGCATGGATATTCCCCTTGAAAGGCTACCAGCAGGAGGTCTCACAGGTTGACGTTACTTCTGGGAAATTGCCGTAGTACTGGGCTGGATGATCATTCTTGCAGGTGGAAGGAAGTGAACCAAGTCCATGTCCCCAGAGCCGGTTAGACTCTGTCAGCATATTCACCCCAGATTGCTGGATAAGCCAGAGTGACAAGTGACTAATGGGTACTGGAGTGCCTGCCTTTCTAGTGACAAGAACTCATCCATGTCCTCTCCTGTGCCTCCCCATTCCTGAGAACAGGGGCCTGGGAGTCTTAATTAGAAATGTCAAATGTGTCTAGAGAGTAAAAATTAGAGAATAATGTTTGAGCCCTAATGTTCCTGTCGCATGTCCAAGGCCACCCTGCTAGTACCCATGGAGTACATGTCCTGGGTCTGTGTTCCTTCCCTAGACTGTGCTCACCCCACACTGTCCATCTTGCCTTTCTGTCTGCATGTGGTGCTTTTGGTATTTTGTTTCTGGCTCTTAGGGGGAAGTTTGGGTGCAGTAAACAGCTTGCCCTGTGTGTAGAACCCCTCAGAAGCGACCACCTCTGCTTGTTTTCCCCTCAGTGCACCAGAGTGGAATCATATAGACCCCCAGCGGAAGGAAGAACTGGACAAGAAAGTTGAGGATGGAGAATTCTGGTGAGTTTTCTGCTGAAGCGCTGTCCCATTGGTGATGGGTCCATTTTCCGTTCTGATGTGGGTGCAGCCAGTCTCTAGGTCTTCCAGGAAGGCAACGTGATTCCTGACCATGATGAATTCATTCTTCTCCTCCTTTTGTCCTGGTAAAATTCCACCTCTATACCAGCACGTCTAAAGCTCTGAAACCATGATATCTGGGCCCTCAGCCTGGCTTAACTATCAGCCTGTCTTTCTCAGTTCTACTATCTTTCCAATGAACTGAGAGCACTGCTTCTATCTGTTTAAGCTAAGATTTACCTACCATCAATATGGGATAACTTCCTTTGCTAGTGAGCTAAGGAAGATAATAAGGATACTCCTTGAATATGGTACGGCTTAACTGTACATCACTCTGAATTAAACAAAAATAAACCTCTTGTGAGCTTAGACTTAACCCAACCTAGAGGCAGAGGCTTTGTTGAGATGACCTCCTGGGGTCTTTTGCAGTTTACAGTTCAGATCCTTTGCTTGGCTGTTAAGATACGTGAGGGGGGCTCCCTATAAGAGCCAAGAAGCTAGTGCTAGTGAAGAATGTGGACCGTCGTCTCTGCGTGTTTGGATCAGTGTGCTGCAGGAAAGATCAAGCTAGCCCACGGCCTCTAGGGCCTGTGCCACGGCTCCTTCCTGTGCCCGGTATGCGTGTCTTTAATCACAACCCAGCCCTCTTCACTGAGAGCCCTCTGGTACCTCTGCCCCCAGGATGTCATTTTCAGATTTCATGAGGCAATTCTCTCGGTTGGAGATCTGCAACCTGTCCCCGGACTCTCTGAGTAGTGAGGAGGTGCACAAATGGAACCTGGTCCTGTTCAATGGCCGCTGGACCCGCGGCTCCACAGCTGGGGGCTGCCAGAACTACCCAGGTAAGGTGAAGGGCTGCCTCGGCCCAACCTCCTCCAGCTTATCCTCCCTGAGCTGGGTCACTTTATATAATTTTTTGTTGGTATGTTGTGTGTTTTTTTGAGACGGGACCTCACTCTGTTGCCTGGGTTGGAGTGTAGTGGTGTGATCTCTGCTCATCACAACCTCTGCCTCCCAGGCTCAAGTGATCCTCTCAACTCAGTCTCCTTAGTAGCTGGGACCACAGGCACGCACCACCAGGCCTGGGTAATTTTTTAAAAATTTTTTTGTAGAGACAGGATCTCACCATGTTGCCCAGGCTGGTCTCGAACTCCTAGGCTCAAGTGATCCACCAACTTTGGCCTCCCAAAGTTCTGGGATTACAGTTGTGAGCTGCTGTGCGCAGCCCTATATGTTAATCTTTGGATAAGGCCTTTGGACTTTGTTCTTTGACTTCTGGGCACCCTCTGGAGGTCCTGCTTCTCCCTAGGGCTTGGGGGCCAGGGTTGTGAGGGTGGGCAGTGGCTCTGCAGCCGCTCAGCTGCAGCCTGAACTGTGTGTTCAAACCATCCCTGCTTCGCCCACCCTCCCCTCCTCCAAAGGATGCGCTTTCCACACTAACGCTGCTCTTGGCACCTTATGCTAAGGCCTCCTGTTCTTCCCTTGGGTTTTTGCCCCTTCCTCCCCACTCCCGCAACCCAGCTGGCTAACAGTCATCCCGCTGAGCTCTGGGACAGAGTGGCTGATGGTGTGCTAGGGGAACACGGGTACAACATCTGCTGTTTCAATAGACTGCATCCATTAGAGCTGCTGTTTCACTGTGTGTTTGTGCCTGAGTTGGAGGTGGAGGGGCAAAGACAGCGTGGTCCATGGTGGCCACACACAGGGCATGCATGTCATGGGGACTCAGTCCCTGGTGGAGATAGCATGGTGATAGTATAGGCATATAGCATGGCCTCCGCACTAACCCTGGGTCCTCACCTGATGAAAGGTGGGAAGCTTTCCTGGCTCACAGAAGATCACTAATGTGTCCCCTGTGTAGGCTCCTCCTAGGTTGAATCAGCTGAGGCAGCACCTGATGAAGAAACTCGGGAAAACAGCCCCACATCTCTAAGCAGAAATGAAGAAAAGCAAATCCTGCTCTCTCTACTTTTCACCTCCTGCTCCCCATGCTCCCTGCCTGGTTTGCTGTTGATGTGTTTATTGACTTAGACTGTAAGCACATGAGGCAGGGCCAGTCACTTTTTTTCTCTTGAACAGAGCTCACTGCAGGGCTGTGCTCAGTGCTAGGGAAGCAGCATTAGAATAAAACCCCACCTGGGTGCAATGCTGGGTCTTGACAAGTTCTCTCTTCTTTCATCACCTATCCAACCCAAAGCTCCCAGTTCAGGCAGCTGTGACCAGAGTGCTGAACAGAGAGGAAGGAAAGGGGTCCATGTCCTGCCCTTGTTGTTTGATTTAGACCCTGGGAAGGGCATTTCCCTCTTCTGAGCTTCAGTTTCCTAATCCTCCAGATGGGGTTCGACCTTTGAACCTTACTGGGTCACTGTGAGCCTTGGAACACAGTGTGTAGGGAAGCACTTTGTAAACTGTGTAGCATTATGTAAACAGGACGCATTGTTTTATGGCCCATTCTCTTCCTCCAGTACTGTTAAGGAGTAAACAAAATATGTATGGATTGCAGTAATGTTGCATTTGGGAGAAATTAGAATCTGCTCACCATTAGCAAGCTCTTAGAAAATGTGTAGGAGATTTGCATGGATCATTTTCGGAGCTCAGAACCGTAGGGGGTGCCCAAGGTATCTGCAAACACCAAATCACAATCCCATCCTTGCCACCAACTAGCTGTCAGGAAGACATGGATAGTTCCTGCCCTTTGGTAGTGATGGAAGTATAGGCGATTACGGAATTTTTTCTGTCTCCTCTGGAATCCACAGATATCTGACTTTAAAATCCATACACTTGAGCCCTAAAATCAATCAATCAATCAATCAATCAATCAATCAAACAAACAAACCTGGAAGTGGGGATTCTGGGAGGGTGGAATTGAATAAGAAATCCTACTGTAAAGAAAAGTGATAATCAATGGCTCTTGGTCAGCTGTGAATGCCTTGTTATTTTTCAAGTTAGACTCCTCCTTAAAGGATGTAAGGAAAAATCCCACGCCCTTCCACTTCTTTTTTCCTCCAGGGCACATGATTATTGAAATTGTTGAGGCCCTAGAGTGGAGACACCTGTCAGGCATGTCTTCTGCAATTATGCTCTGCCACTGGACTCTGTCATAGACTTGCTGCGTGTCCTTGGATGATCCTTTTAACCTCTCTGTGGCTTGGCTTGTGTACTTACTATTCTGAGAGATTTTTAAAAAGCCATCTTTGAAATGAAGGAATCTTTTTCAATATCCATAGGTGGTGTGGCAGGACTGCTTCTTAACTGCCAATCGTGATTCCTCATGCATTATTAAATGACTTTCTCTTGAAGAAAGTGTGTCTCGTCAGTTGGCTGCGACACTGAAGCCATCCTGTAAGGACCCTGGGGTGATAGACGGCAGATTAGTTCTCAGGGGTGCTGCCAGCTGTGCTCTGCAGCTGGGGCCCTCTCAGAGGGAGAATAGGTGTCAATCAGATGGCAAGAGCAGTTGTCTTTATAGTGTCAGGCAGAGACCTCTTTCTTAGCTAGTCTCTTCTGGGACTTTCTCCTCTTCTGTCCTGGGGACATGGTTTTTACCCAGAGATCTCCCTTCCTCCAGAAGGTGGGTTTGCCTTCACAGGTCAAGTGCTGAGAGCAAGGTGATGTTAAGTCTTTCCCCAGGAAGACTTGGAGGCAGTGCTGCCCAGTGTGGCCCTCGGATCACGGGATCCTGAATAGTCCCAGTCAAGCGCTTCTGGGCTCCTCATTGATCAAATGGACAAGTACACATTTCCAAATGCGATGGGATATGTCTGTGTGTGTGGATGTGTAGGGAGGTAGGAGGAAATGTCTGACCACCTTGTAAAGAACACTTTCTGAGGCCTGCTTACTAGGCACAGTTTGGACAGAGCTGTGCATTCATTAGGATGATCAAGGTTCTTCCTTTTACTTTATTCTTCTTCATCTCCTCACCCGCTACATGGGGAACCACCATCACCTGGGTGACTTCCAGCCACTTACTGGACCAATCCTCAGTTCAAAATCCATTTGGATGAAGTGGATGAAGACCAGGAGGAGAGCATTGGTGAACCCTGCTGTACAGTGCTGCTGGGTCTGATGCAGAAAAATCGCAGGCGACGGAAGAGGATAGGACAGGGCATGCTTAGCATCGGCTATGCTGTCTACCAGGTACTGCTGTGCTGGGTTTGTCCTTCATTACTCACTTGATGTTTTGGGGCTGAATATCTTGGCCAGTCATTGTAGCACATCTTTCTTATTGCTGGAGTATTCCTAATCGAGAAGTGTCCTTGCTCCCCTATATAACAATCCCAGTGGCCTTACTGAGGTCTGAATTCCACAATTAGAGATTCATTGCTATGGCTTAAGTCTCTGCTGTTAACACTGAGATGTGTGACACGTTAACCTTTGCCTGTCATTGAGGGCTCAGTGTACAGGTGTTCATTGGACTCTTTTCCAAGTACAGGCTTCCCCAGGGACAAGAGCCAAGAACATGGGGGCATAAGGCACTTGAGGTGGCACAAGGAGGATGAGGGGCATCACTGAGTCAGGGAAGGAGGCTGGATATGGGAGCCAAAGACAACTATTCCCTGGGAGGCCTTGAGACACTTGGAGCACACAGGGCATGAGCTGGGGTGATGGAAACCACGCGCCCATTTTCAGTTCTGGTGTCTCTGGACTCTGGAATACAGCTGACTCTGGGCTCACGCTACAGTCCCTGGCTAACGTGCCAGTTTTCCTGGCAGCCACCCCTCTACAGACTTAACAGCCTCACAGATATATTAAAGTAAGACCTTTGTGTCTTGACAAGTCTAGCCAGAAACAAGTTGGAATCCACTTTTTTATACAGGCAAAGACTTCTTTTAGCAAATTCCAGCGGGGCTTATGGTGGTTGTTTTTTAAAACAATTTTGTTGAAAGAATTTCTTGGGAAAAATACAATTCTAATCAGGAAGACCAAGAGCTGACTGGAGGCCCAATATCTCAGTATAAATTAATGTATAAAAAAAATTGTAATAAGAAACCAGTAAGGAAATAGTGCAATTGTCAAGATCCTATCTGCATCCCACCCTTTATTTCTCATATTCTGGAATTTAGGGCTTTAGCGTTTAGGGTGTATATGTGTATGTGTGCACATGCACGGGCACGTGAGTGTATTTTATGTTGAAGAATGGGAGTTGGAAAATAATTGCTAATTGATGGCAGGAGAAAGGAATTGCAAATAAATAAGTTCCAATTCTACTCCAGCTTAGCTCTTTCATCTCCACCTGGAATGTTAGTAGCACAAAGCCAGACTCTGTTTGAAGAGATAAAAACCTGTTTAGGCACTTAGTGTATGCACATGAAGTCAACAAACTTTAATGAGCATCTACTATGTGCTGGGTGCTGTACTGTAAGCTGAGGACATGGAGGAATATCACATAGTTGCTGTCCTCAAGGTGCTCACAATCTGAAGTGGAGAGTCAGATGCACACTCCACTGGCAACAGAGCAGGGCAGATCTGCTGTCATGGGGACCAGACACAATGGGCTGGGGTCACCTCAGCTTCGTGGAGGAGGAGATTTTGATGAGAACCTTGAAAGATGAGCTGGATTTCAAGGGAGAACATTCCAGCCAGAAGGACATTTCTTGACAGCTTGAAAGTTAAGTGATGGTTTTGGAGAGTCGATAGTAGGTGGGCATGGATGCAAGGTGGGCTACTCAGTTCTTCATCCATCAGGTCTACCTTTTTTTTGAGATGGAGTCTCACTATGTTGCCCAGGCTGGAGTGCAGTGTTGTGAACTTGGCTCACTGCAACCTCCGTCTCCCAGGTTCAAGCAATTGTCCTGCCTCAGCCTCTTGAGTGGCTGGGATTACAGGTGCGTGCCACCACATCTGGCTGATTTTTGTATTTTTAGTAGAAATGGGGTTTCACCCTTGTTGGCCAGGTTGGTCTCAAACTCCTAACCTCAGGTGATCCACCCTCTTCGGCCTCCCAAAATGCTGGAATTACAGGCGTGAGCCACCGCACTCGGCCAGGCCTACCTTATATAACCAGACCAGCAAAGCATTCTTTCAAAGGGACTGAAATAGCTTTGTGTGGCATGACATTTGCACTTATAAATAATATATAAAGCATATCAGTTTTTTAGTCATCAGATTACTGTTGCTTAAACAATATTCCAGTGTATGTGATCTGTGGTCCTTCTACATCTGGACAGAGGCATATAATTTAGAGCATGACATCCGTAAGTGAAAACAGTTTAAAAGTCAGGTTAAGAGGGTATCAGGAGTAGCTGGGGTTATAGGGAGTAGCTGGGGTTGCAGGGAGTGGATGCCATATTCTTATTCCTGTATTTCTCTCCTCTTGCTTTAACTGGAGTTTGGATTGAGGATGAAAACCTGCTGCTGACTGAGAAGCAGCCAGGCGCCTCCAAAGGCTAAAGAGCCCTCCTTGTCTGGGCTCCTCTCTCTCTGCATTATCTTCCTGCAGTGATGCCAGGCCAGCCTGTCATTTGCAGTCAGGATACTGCATTTCAAAGATGACTGTTTCTTTCCATCCACCCACGGGCAGTGGCTAAGGCCTGCTCCCTTACCTCGTTGCTCTGGATTTGTGCCACCAAGAGGCCCCACCTGCCTGGCTCAGTTCCTGTCGGGTGATTCTTGGCAGGGTGAATCTGGAGCATATTGATAGCAGCAGAGGTGGTCAAGTTGTTTGTGAAAAGATGGCCCACATGGTTAGGAAAACCCCTGCCAAGGGTGTGTAAAGGCTATTAGACCAGGAGCCAAGAGGAAGATACTTGTGAGGCCTCCGCATGGGTGATTTTGGTTTTACACTCAAAATTAGAGGAATGATTGTGACCCTGGACTCTTCTGCTTCTGCTGCCAATGACACAGGGGGCTCCAGAAGTGAGCATGCTAGCATTTTCCCTAATATTGTTGTTTCTGAGAGTTTTCGGCAGTTGACCATAGACCTAAGTCACGAACAATGGTTATACTGGTCTTCTGGTCAAAAGGGCCTATGTGTCAGGGACAAAGAATGGAAAGGGACAAATTGGGGGGTTTGAATCCTCTTCTCTAGCCTGGCATAGGAACCCCAGGCATGGGGAAGCTCCTACTCTGGATCTGAGAGCTACTCTCTTGTGGGAGTCAACACTTCCAGTTACATAAAATAGAGCCTAACTTGAGCTAGGGTAGTGAAAAGAATGTACCAGCTCATGAAACCAAAGCAAGGGAAGGAGATGGAGGCTTGGGACAAGGGACTTAGATACTACCAGGATTATTTCTCTTGACATCTCCTCCCTAGTGTTGATGACATTGTGCTAGTCTAGATTTCTTCATTCCCTAATATCACTAGCATTAAGAAAGGATCCCCTTCTGTTAGTTCTGATTCAGAAATCCCAGAGAAGTAAGTCTCTGATGGGCTCAGCTTGGGTCACGTGCCTATTCTTGACCCATTTCACCACAGCCAAGGGCAGAATAAACTATGGCTCAGGTTAAGTGAGATTCCCTCACTCTGGTCAAGGTCTTGATCTTGGACTCTAGGTCTGTAGGTCTATAAGAAGAGATTAGCTCTCATTGAAAGTCCAAGGCTATTACTCTTGAAGAATTTGAGATCTTGGTAGATCCTACAACTAGAAAAGTATGAAAGTAGAACTTAGAAATCTGGTGGGCCCCTACCAGGTTTCTAGGATCCTGTTTATAGATGGCCTTGAAATTCATCAATAATGTTCCAGTTTCAGAAATGCTGACTGGCTTCTCACTTTAGCACAAACGTCTTCCTCAGTGGCCCCAGGACTGCATAGTCTGTTTGCAAGACATAGGAAGGGAGGAAAAGGAGCAGAAGGAGGACCTTGGAGCTCTCAGGTGATCTACTCTTTTCTTCTGCCCCACAGGTTCCCAAGGAGGTATGTGAGTGCTGACAGAAATTCCTTCCTTTGGTGAGAAATAGTTTGGCTGCCTTCAGGATGGGCAGCCGGCAGCATCTGTTTCCTGCGATAGAAGCTGGTTGTTCCACAGCTCTTACATGATCCAGTCATGAATCAAACCACATGAGTAGGCTGGTAGCTCTGAGAGTGGGTGAGGACCATTGCAAGTCCCATCTGTCAGGCCCTCATGGAAGGAACAGTGGTGACCTTTTCCCCCATGCCCCTGGTGGTCTGAACAACGTGATTCTAATGGGCAGCCAAGGTTGAGAACCAGTGTTCTATCTGGGCTTCCTCCAGCTGGAGTCAGTTGCACTAATTAGGTAGATGTGTATCCACCCTGCTGCAGCTTTACCCCAGTTCTTCTGGGTTTTCAAGCTTGGCTAGCCATGAAGCATGTGCCAATAAGGCTCAATTCATCAAGTCTAGTTTATGCCTTGGTCCAAGGCTGCAGATTACTGGTCCACCTGCCCTTGGCTCACAAAGTGCATGTTATTGATTACGGAGGGAACAGACAAGCAAGTGAATGGTTTAGAGCAAATACCTCTTACTGATGCAGGACAGGTGAGCCCTCAAATTGGGGCTTAGCCTGGGAGGGTTCTTGGCTTCACCCAGGAAAAAATTCAAGGACCAGCCAGTGGTGTTAGACAGCAACTTTTATTGAAGTGGCAGGGTAGAGCAGCAGCAGAGGTCCTTGCAGAGCAGGGCTACCTCATAGCCAGTGAGCCCAGAGTAGCAGCTGACAGGCAGTTCCACACTCATACCAACTTTTAATTATATGCAAATTAAGGGGCAGATTATGCAGAAATTTCTAGAAGAAGAGTGTTAACATCTGGGTTGTCAGATTGTTGCCATGGAAAGGGGCAGTAACTTCTGGATGTTGCCAAGGCAACAGTAAACTGATATGGCACACTGGTGGTTATGTCTTATGGAGAGGTGCTTTCACCTCTTCCCTGTTTCAGCTAGTGCTCCATTTGGTCCAGCCTCCTGCTAGGAGTTGAGGCTTACCTCCTACCTCACTAGTACCAGAAAATAATTAAAACCAAAGCTGAGTTAAGTCTGGGTGATGGTGGTTCCCATCAGAAATGCCCCATTTCTATGAGTGAGAGGTGACATACACACACAATGGAGCTCTCTCCACCAGCACCTCACAGTGCCCTCAATTTGTCACCCTGGATCCTGTGCTCTGCAAGTGCCAGGCGGCCTTCAGGACAACGGTTGTCAAACTTAGAATGTGCTTCTGAATCCCCTAGAATGCTTTTTAAAGCACAGATTTTTGGGCCCTGCTCCTGGAGTTTCTGATTCTTTCAGTCTAGGGTGGGGCCTGAGAATTTGCATTCTAACAAGTTACCCTGGGGTGCTGCTGTTGATCCTGACCCCACACTGACAGCCACCCTTGGTTAAACCTGCCCAACCTCCATCCTGTCACTTTGAGCTGTGCTATGTCATGGGCAGATGTGGGGACCAGGGACCTTGTGGCACCTGCTTACTTGGGGTTCCTGGTAGGAGAGAGTCTTACCCAGATTTTGCCTCAGGGTTCTTCAGTCCCCACTCTGGCCTTCCAAATAGGACTTTTCTAACCTGCTCCACCCTGGATTCTTGCTGGAACTCAGTTTGCCCCCTTCCCAACCCAAGTCAAATTACAGTAGCTTCCCTACTTCAACTCTCCTGAGTGCTTTCTCCTGCCAGTGCCCTGTCTCCTCCCTTTGCTACCATCAGGTATGGCAAGAATGACCTTTAACTCATGACATGTAGACCTTGGTCACATCCTCGCTGGCCACACCGTCAGCATTCTCCTGCCCAGAGTGTAAGCATTTTTAGGGAGAATCTCAAGGACTGTGGGCACCCTAGTGGCGGGGTCAGTGAGGACTTCCTGGGGGCTCTATGTGGAGTCCTGGCTAGGGTAGTGGGGGCAGGTGGCCTGCTTCCTTCTTTGCTTAGCAGGTCTGTAATCCAAAGAGGGTCTGATGACCACGAGTGAACACTGTCCACTCTGTGGTGGACATTTCAGCTCCAGGTCACACAGAAGTTATAGCCCTTGCAGCGTATCAGCACCTGGCCTCTGTCACAGGCATCTTGATGAAGATTGATCGTAAAGACGCAGTGCTATGGGGAGGCTTAATTACAGCAATAATAATGTTGGCACCTGTGTTTTGGAAGCACTCTGCAGTCACTAATTAGCCTGTGTCATGCACCAACAGCCTCCCACCTCCCCGCAAAAAATAAGTGGGTCCTGGAGAACATCATCGCCTGTTGAGGAGAGTCGAGGCCCTGGGGAGGCTGGGGGGACTCTGGATTAGGCCTAGCTGTGGCTGCCCCCTCTGCCTGTCTCTTTTAGAGCTGCCTCCCTGGGCTCCCAGACTGACCATCGTAGTCTCTTTGCAGAGCAGTTTTCCCAGATAGTCAAAGGTGAGCAAGTTTTTGTGGCAGCTTTTGCTTGAGGACTAGGATTTAAGCTCTTTTCTCCAGCCTTGGGCCTATACTGGGAAGGTCAATGCCACACTCCCAGAGACAGCTGCAGAATAAAAGAGTCTATTGGATTAGAGAGGAAAAATATCCAGGCAGAAGCTGAGCGCACACTAGAGATCCTGCTACTCAACCTTCGTTTAACTGGGGAGGCCCACAGGTCAAGGTCACAAAGGCAAGATCAATGCCTCAAACAGGGCCTGGCACCCAGAAGGCACTCAAAATACACTTGATGATTGACATACAGTGAGTTCACAATAGAATCCGTGGCCTCCTGATTTTTAGTGCAATGGTAAAAATCAATAATTCCTAAATCAGCACGATAAAGCTGAACTCTTGGGCTCTCATCTTCCAGGATTTAGCAATAAATTGACTCTGCCTGTTGTTTTGTGCAGCTGGAGAGCCACACGGAGGCACACGTGGGCCGGGATTTCTTCCTGGACTACCAGCCCTTGGCGCGCACCAGCACCTATGTCAACCTGCGGGAGGTCTCTGGCCGGGCTCGGCTGCCCCCTGGGGAGTACCTGGTGGTGCCATCCACGTTTGAGCCCTTCAAAGACGGCGAGTTCTGCTTGAGAGTGTTCTCGGAGAAGAAGGCCCAGGCCCTGTGCGTCTCCTTCCCTCCGTGGTGGGGAACAGTTGTCTGTGGGCCCACAAAGGGAAGTGGCCCCATGCAGGTGCAGGTCCCACCCCAGTTCCCAGTATATATTCCCAGAAAAAAGCTCGAAGAAACTACAAGGCCAAAGGACCCTTCGCTTGGTGTCCCCCTCCTACCCCTCCACCTTGCTCTATAGGTCAAGGAGAGAAAGGGAACCAGGAGACCAGCAGCGGCCTGGACTGGGGCTCCCACCCCTGCAGAAGGAGCATGTGAGGCCCTGAGAGCGGGACCTGGACCAGAGTACCCCTCCTCCCCTCACACACCCCCCCCATATACACACCACACATACACACCACATGCCACACACATACACACCACGTACCACACACATACACACCACACACATACACACACTCCACACAAACATGCACCACATACCACACACATACATCACACACACACCACACACCACACACATACACAACACACACACGCCACTCACACACACCATGTATGTACACACCACACACATGCACTACATACATACACACCACATGCCACATATACACACCACAAACACATACACAACGTGCACATTCTCCACTCACACACATACACCACACAATGCTCCCCTGACACACACCATGTATATACCACACACATATACACATGACATGTACCACCTACACACATATACATACCACATACCACACGCATACTCCACTCACACATAACATATACACCACACATATCATGCACACACACCACACGTACATACCACACACACACCACACATACACAACACACACACCACACGTACATACCACACAATAATAACTAATAATATACACAACACACACACTAGGATAATTATTATACACAACACAGCATACAACATACCATGATACACATACACCATGTACACAATATTACACACACTACACAAACAATCACTGCACTATATACCACAAGCATTCCTGTTGGCACCTGCTATTTACACACACCAATGGATACACCATGCAATACACAATTCAGCACACTACAATAACATGAACATTAGGCTATATATCACACACATCATGAGCCACATCACATACTACACAAACTATACACACTACACATACACACCACACATATACATCACACACACAACATGTATACCACACACACAGCAAACATACTATAAGCACATGCACACCACACATTACATATCACACACACCAAACACACCACACACCATAGGTATACGCTGCACACATCACACATCATACAGTACACACACCGTACACCACTCACACACACCATGTACATACAGTGTACACTCCACACAATCACACAGCACACCCTCATACCACATACACACTATATACATATCATTCACGCACACCACATACATATGATACACACACACACACACCCCACAGCACACACAACCTCTATGCACCCCTGCAACGACTGTGAGCTTGCTGGCTCAGTCCCCAGAGGACATGTCAACAGGGATCATCCTTCTGGGGAATTCTCTCCCTACCTTACCCCAGTTACCATTCTTGTCCCTGGGAGTGACCCATCAGGGTGAACACTCTGGAATCCTTGAAGGGCCAATTGCACTGGGAAGCTCTTGTCTCTGATGAAAAACTCTGGGTGGGGTGGAGGTTGAGGAGGTGAGGGAGACGAATCCTGGCTAAAGATTCTGTTTATACAGTTTTTAGTAGGAAATGAAGTCTGGGGTGTGAGGCCAATCTCTCAGCAGGGCCAAAATCTTCCTCAAAGAACCCAGCCATTAGCTGTACTTTCTGTACTCATGTTAGGTTTATTTCTTTCTTTGTATTTCAGAGAAATTGGGGATGTGGTGGCTGGAAACCCACATGAGGTATGCAATCTTTTTGTATGCCAAACTCTGACACTGTTGCATAGCAGTCATTTCAGGTTTCTTATTGATTTCTCAGAATTCTTTATGTATTAAGGATGGTAACTTCTTATTAGTTAGGGCCACAACATTTTCTAGTCCCTGTCTCTTCCTGAGGAAGATGAGACAGAAGTAGCCCTGGAACCCAGGCTTTGTAATATATCCCTATCCCCTGGGGGAGGTCTTAGCGTCGTCTTGCACGTTTGATAAGCAGGACCCACAGATAGAGCACCCACTGTGCCTAAGCTGTGCTGGGAAGGATAGAGAAGTCCATGGGAGAACAGATCCAGTGTCCTGCTCTTGGATTGACCTCCAGTCTTTTGGAGGACAAATGATGAAAATATACACAAAAGATGAAGAAAAGAACACAGCAGAAAACCCATCTAAACTTGAGGACGTGTAGTCTGAGGGGTGCTGGGGGAGTGCCTAGTCTGGGAAAGCCCCATGGAGGAGATAGTTCTGAGCCGACTTTGGAGGAAGAAATATGTAGGGTTTGCGGTGTGGGTTCACCACCTGACTCCCTTTATCCCTCACTGTGTCTTAATGTACTGTCCTTGCCCTCAGATGGTGGTGTGCCGGGTGATGGGTATGTTGGGTGCTGCTGCTCCCTGAGAGCCATGCTGTGCCTGTGGCCAGTGGGCTTGGGGTGGGGCAGGACCACCTACATGGGGGCACAGGCCCAGCTTGCACCCCTCCGTCCAACACTGACGTGTCTCTGGCTGCAGATGCCACGCGGAGTGCTCCCAGCTGCTGGGCTTGGCATCTTCGGCTGAATGGGGGTGAGGGCAGACATATTTTGTGATTTGACACGTGTCAAATTTACAGGCTCCTGTTTCTGCCGATGCATGAGATGGTGCCAAATAAGGATCCATCTTGCCCTGGGGGTTTTTACTGTGAGTTTATCAGATAGAAAATGCATGTCCCATGTCTGTTTTTTCTTTTTTTTTTTTTTGAAGGTTTTTTTTATTATTATACTTTAAGTTCTAGGGTACATGTGCACAATGTGCAGGTTTGTTACATATGTATACATGTGCCATGTTGGTGTGCTGCACCCATTAACTCGTCATTTACATTAGGTATTTCTCCTAATGCTATCTCTCCCTCCACCTCCCTCCCCACAATAGGCCCCAGTGTGTAATGTTCCCCTTCCTGTGTCCAAATGATCTCATTGTTCAATTCCCACCTGTGAGTGAGAACATGCGGTATTTGGTTTTCTGTTCTTGCGATAGTTTGCTGAGAATGATGGTTTCCAGCTGCATCCATGTCCCTACAAAGGACACAAACTCATCCTTTTTTATGGCTGCATAGTATTCCATGGTGTATATGTACCACGTTTTCTTAATCCAATCTGTCACTGATGGACATTTGGGTTGATTCCAAAGTCTTTGCTATTGTGAATAGTGCCACAATAAACATACGTGTGCATGTGTCTTTATAGCAGCATGATTTATAATCCTTTGGGTATATCTCCAGTAATGGGATGGCTGGGTCAAATGGTATTTCTAGTTCTAGATCCTTGAGGAATCGCCACACTGTTTTCCACAATGGTTGAACTAGTTTACAGTCCCATCAACAGTGTAAAGGTGTTCCTATTTCTCCACATCCTCTCCAGCACCTGTTGTTTCCTGATTTTTTAATGATTGCCATTCTAACTGGTGTGAGATGGCATCTCATTGTGGTTTTGATTTGCATTTCTCTGATGGGGAGTGATTCCAGTGAGTTTCTGAACTGGTGTGACTGGTTCCCTGCACACTGTACTTCAGCCAGTGGTCAAAAGCGGCCCCTGCCTCGAGTCGGTGGCAATACCTGGCACCAGAGGCCTTTTCTGTGCTTGTGACTCTTGGTGATCTGAGATGGGCAGAATTTTCCCTCCTACCCCTCGCCTCAGTTGCCGATGCCAGCTCAGCCTTCTCACTGCTCCCAGGAGGACTTATCGCTCACAGTGGCATCTCTTTCTATGGGTCCCAGGCATATTAGAAAGGCTGCCGTTTGCCAGTGTAGAGTATGGAGCTGAGCTTGAATTCAGGTGCTAAGAATTATTCTCCCTCCTTTTTTGTGTGGGAAGGGCAGGGTTCTGCTAAATCAACTTCAACTGATTCTAAGCCCCCCTTGCACCAGGTTGGCAGGAGTTCAATCTTAGTCACTACTGGGACTTCCCATCTCCACCTCTCATGGTATTGGGGTATTCTAAAGCCCCCAAGCAACAGGAAGTCTCTTCTGGTCCTGGGTCCATACTGGTTACCCCTGTGGTCAGCTCACAGGTTCCTTTATGACTGACAGCTCTTGGGCTTCTGTGCTCAGCATGGGGCCTAGAATCTTTGGTGAACTGGGAGTCCTCAGGCCAATGGTCCAGCCTCCCCTGCTGAGGTATCAGGACATGGCTCTGGAGCCATTCAAGGGTTCCCATATACTCAAGATCCTGCAAACTTCAACATCTTCTTGGTCTCAGGGAAACCCTGCTTTTTCTCTTTAGGGCACCACTGTGCTGTGACTCTGTCTCTCTCTCTCTCTCTCTCTCACACACACACACACACACACACACACACACTCCAGAATACACAGATAATGTCCTCAGGGGACTCAGGACTTAACAGGAGACAGGAAGGGCTATTGCCTTCAGGAACTTCTGTTTTACTCCCTGCAGAAATCTTCAAGTCACGAACAGTTGGACATTCGAAGAGCAGAATCACCTGCTTTGAATGAGGGAAGGAAAAATTACACGGTGAACAAACACACTCTTGGAATTTAGCCACGTTCACTTTGAGCAGGGTTGTAAAGATATTCCCAACATGTGATATAATGAATAACAAGAAAATAATTCCTTGCTTTTGCCATGCTGCCATACCATTTGCAAAGCATTTTCATATAGATTGTATCAGGGAAATAGAAAATTCCACTATAATAAGTTCCTTGAGAACAAAAAATATGCCTTGTTCACCATTGCATTCAGACGCAGGTTCTGAACAGTTCCCAACATGTGCCAGGTGTTCAGTAAATCTTTTTTTGAATGAACAAATTGTGAAGAACCACAGTTGCAACCATGTACACACGTTTCCCTCATTCCCAGTGTCCAAAAATTCCCTCATATCCAATGATAGCCAACAGTCCCGGGGTGCCTGCTCTGCGCCTGTGTGTGTCCATATCCATATACTGTTTTGTTGTTGGTTTTTTATATGCAACTTTATGCTTTTTCCCCAGAATAATAGAATATTACTCCATGTCCAGAATTTATGGACATCTGACAAGATTTTGGTATACTGTATTACATGAATGATATAATGTTGTTTTGTCCCCTACAAAACCACTTTAAAATCATAGATGTGTGATGAGATACGATGTGTTTATCATGTTTTCTTCTAAAAATCTAGATGTATTTTTGGATTAGCACATCTTCTATGTAAAACAGCATGGTAGACGTTAATATCCTCATTCTACACGTGAGGAAACAGCCCCAGAGAGGCTGAGAGTAGTCAGATGCAGAGAGCATCTTCTGTGATGATCATTCCAGAGGGTGGTGGAGAAACGCACAGGCTGGAGTTTAATCTGGCTTCACTGTTTACTAGCTGTGTGATCTTGGCCTGTTATATAACATTTAAAATGAAGTAACATTTAAAATTCCAGTTTATCCATTGGTGAAGTGTGGACCGTAATGAGACGAACCTCACAGGACAGTCATGAATATTAAATGAAATAATCCATGCAAAGTACCTGACAGGTAGTAAGTACTCAGCAAAGACAAGTATTATCACTACAGTGGTTATCCTTATGAGTACAGCATCATCAAGCTATATTGGGCCTTTTGTACTCATCTTAGTGATAGTTTTGGAAGAAATTGACCCGGCTTTCTAGAAATTTCGTGTCATCTGGGAAGCTGTCACTTTTCCATTCTGTCTTGTGGTGACAGCTGGGCATTGTTCTATTTTGGGCAGAGCCCATTGTCACATCAGAAAGTCTCTGGACAGAAGCATTTATATATTGGTTTGTAATTTCCAAAGGACTTTGACTCACATTAGCTCTCATTTGATTCCCAAAATGGCCCCATGAAAATGGTCAGGTTAAGTCAATATTAGAGTAGAGGCCATGGATGTTCAGAGCCCTGAGATAGTGTCCAGTAAGGGGCCAATCTGCTATTAGAACTCCTGGGTTCTAGTTCTGCTCTTTCTACTACGCGATGTTCTCAACTACTTTTGAAATCATGTTGCTCTTTGTGAATCCGATGAAAGCTAAAAAAATTTTTTTTTCTGAGACAAGGTCTCACTCTGTCACCCAGGCTGGAGTGCAGTGGTACAGTCTTGGCTCACTGCGGCCTCAGCCTTCTGAGCTCAAGCGACCCTCCTACCTCAGCCCCCCAAGTAGGTGGGACTACAAGTGTGCGCCACTACACCCAGCTAATTTTTGAATTTTTTGTAGTAATGGGGTTTCACCGTGTTACCCAGGCTAGTCTCAAACTCCTGGGCTCACGTGACCTGCCTGCCTCAGCCTCCCAAAGCATTAGGATTTCAGGTGTGAGCCACCGTGCCCAGCCAAATATGTTTAAATATGACCCCAAGTTTTCACGCAATTTCTGGAGTTCAGACTCCTTGGAAAATTATCAGTGATTCCCTTAGGAGTCCACAGATTCACACCAAGATTTTCTGGTGTCGGTGTCATTTTCTGAAAGTGGTTCAGGTGGTAACCTGAATTCAGAAATTCTGGGTTGGTGGGGCTCACTTCCCCAAGTCACTTAGAGAGAAAACTGCTAGGCCCCAGCGCTGCCTCCCTGCTCATCCCTGCTGGAACGTAAGCTCCCGGGGGCCGGAACCTTGGCTGTCTCTTGGTTTACCACCATGTGCCCCCACTTAGCCCAAAGCCTGGCACACAGTAGGTACATCATAGATACTAATGGATGAAGGAATGAATTTTAAATCTTTGTCTTTCATTCTCCTTGATGATTCCCATTTTAACTTTGCAAATGTCCTTCTTTTTAGCCACATCCCAGTGAGGTGGATCAGGAAGACAGCCAGTTCAAGAGCCTGTTTGAGAAGCTGGCAGAGGTGAGTGGAGGGCAAACACGGCTTCCCAGGTGGGCAGGAGAATATTCAGGAATGTTCAGGTCACTTCAATCTTTACTCCCGGAGGTCTCTAGGAGTAAAAAGGGTGAGACTCAGATCTCAGGGGTCCCCAGCTTCTGTGTCTATCACCATCCTGTCTTAAGATCGAGGACCTTTCCTACATTGCTTGGGAATTGGTACTGAGGCCACGTTTCTTGCTGCATTGACTGATTCTTGAGAAAATAGAAAAGCCAGATCTCCAGGTCCTGCCAAATGCTTGCTGTTTGCAAATTGGCCCTGTCAGATTGGGGCCTCTGAATAAAAAGCTGGGACGGCAAAACCTCTCCAAATCGATATGCTTCAGAGTGGGGATTGCCCAGTCGAAGTGGAAGCCAGCTCAGCTAACCTGGCTTGGGATTAGTGTGCAGGACTAGCCCTGTTCCCTGTCACTGTCCTACAGCCCTGCCTGCCCTCTGGGAGACCAGCAGCCTGAGGAATCCAAGCTTTGCCTGACACGAATGTAACTTGGGCACCTGGAGCAGAGAAAAAAGAACCCCTGATCCTTCTCCCCTGCCCTGGCTTGCATTCACTTTGGTAACAGCCCGGTGGGGGCCATAAGTCAAAGCATAGCCAGGACTTGAAATGTCAAAACCGGCCCCATAAATACAGTGAATGTGTTGCTCTTTGGAGGATAATAAAGTGTGTGAAAAGGACCCTGAAGAGGAAAAAAACAATGGTCTCCACCGCCCCCCCCCCCAGGGAAGCTCAGGGCGACTTTCTAGACTTAAGGATAAAATAGAAGAAAATACATCAGAATCCCTCGCAGGAAATAAAACCTGGGAACAGTTTCTTTGCATAGCCATTGAATAAAACCCTTGCAAAGATAAGCCAATTTATGTTTTAGATGGATTTATAGGCCAGTATTTTTGCTAACAAAACCTTGTTTCCTTAGCTGCCAAGGGGTCATATTTCATTAAGAACATCAAGAATGATGAAAGGAAAAGCTCATATTTGCATAGTTCTTCATGCACCTTATCTTACTTTTCTCTCTGGCTGCATGGGGCAGTATTGGTCACTCTCCTTGCTCTGCTTGTAAAGTGACCTGCACAGAGAGGTTAAGGAGCTGGCTGAAGTACAAGGCTTCATGAGAAATGGGGTCAAGGTCCAAATGTAGACTCTCGACATCCCATTTCTTTCCTGGCAGGCTAATGGGGGTGGTCTTCTAACCCCAGAGGCTTTTTAAAGCGGCCTTAGATCTTTTTTTTTGAGACGGACTCTTGCTCTGTGACCCAGGCTGGAGTGCAGTGGTGTGATCTCAGCTCACTGCAACCTCTGCCTCCTGGGTTCAAGCGATTCTCCTGCCTCAGCCTTCCAAGTAGCTGGGACTACAGATGCCAGCCACCACGCCTGGATAATTTTTGCATTTTTAGTAGAGACAGGGTTTTGCCATGTTGGCCAGGCTGGTCTCGAACTCCTGAGCTAAGGTGATACACCTGCCTCGGCCTCCCAAAGGGCTGGGATTACAGGTGTGAGCCACCGTGCCCAACCCAGGTCCTCAGGCCTTATTATTGGGACTGATCACTCTCTGCTGGGGTGAGGCCAGTTGTCTTCAGAGGAGACATTGCTTTGTGCAGCTCTCGCCTCTCTCATTTCCAGTAGAATTGCCAGGGTCTGGCTAGTGGAGGATGGGAAGATGGAAAGTGACTGGGCTAAAGTCACATGATGAATAAGGGACTGGGTTCAGACTGGGACCCAGACATCAGCCCAGCACCCTTTCTCTGCATTTCATTGGTCATCCTGCCTGAGATCTGTCCTCTGTCTGAGAGTTAAGGGATGACTCTTCCCTCTGACTCAGTGTTTATCCCAGATGCACACAGAATATCCTATTCTCTCAATCTCTGTCCCCAGTTTGAGATGGGCTCCTGTGTGAAATACCAATTCCTGTAGGTGCAGTGGGGAAAGCTGGCACTTTGGGGTGACCCAACCTTAGGTTTCCAAGTCCAGTTCTGCCTCTTGGTAGCTACAAACCACAAGCAATTACATCACATGAAAATGACAAATGATGTTGTATGTATACAGTGCTCAGCAGTTTACAAAATCGTGACTTCCTTAACTCAAAAATGGCTGTGGAACTGTTATGAGGATTTAAGGATCTTCCACACTGGCTCTGGCACATCTGGTTCAATCCTATCATTGCTGTTCCTGTTACTTTATCCCTGTTCAAGAGAGCCCTGTGAAAGGCAGCAGCGCCCTGGCATGTCAGTCTTCTGCCACACTGCATACCACACTCATGGCACTAACACACCTCTGGCCAGGCTGCTGGAGTCCCCAAAAGAAGAGGAGAATTTGAGTTTTTAAAGATGTCACCTGCTTTTAAAATCACAGGGTTGGCCGGGCACGGTGGCTCATGCCTGTAATCCCAGCACTTTGGGAAGCTGAGGTGGGCGGATCATGATGTCGATGAGTTGGACATCATCCTGGCCAACATGGTGAAACTCTTGTCTCTACTAAAAATACAAAAATTAGCCAGGTGTGGTGGCATGCATCTGTAGTCCCAGCTACTTAGGAGGCTGAGGCAGGAGAATCGCTTGAGCCTGGGAGGTGGAGGTTGCAGTGAGCAGAGATCGCACCACTACACTCCAGCCAGGGTGACAGAGCAAGACTCTGTCTCAAAAACAAAAACAAAAACAAAACAAAAGTCACAGGGCCAGTGGACCCGGTGTCTGACTGTGAGGAAGCACTGCATTAATTCACTGTCTTGAAACAACTTGTCAGGGCCTGACATGGCTTGCATTTGGGTTCCTCTTTCTAGGATTCTGAGATTACTGCCAATGCACTCAAGATGCTTTTGAATGAGGCGTTTTCCAAACGTAAGTTCCTTCTTGGGGTCTTTCAGAAAATCTTAGGAGATGCTGGGACAGGGTGAGGGAGGGGCAGGCAGGCAATGGGCTGGGAGCACTACAGGTAGGAGAAAGGGCTTTGGTGTCTGACCCCAGGGGTCCTGATTCAGTCCAGCAAGACAAGAGGGGAAGAAGGAGAGGCAGGAGAGGGGGAGACGACGATGGAGTTGAAGGCGGCACTGGCGCTGGCGACCAGCCAGCCCCTGCGGGAACAAAGCTCCATAGTGTCAAATGAAATTGCAGGCTGAGTCCCAGGAGAAAAAGAGCTGGGCTGGGATTGACTTAAGTGAAATTTTTTCACAAAATTAATAACTTGGATATCGTGGAAACCTCTGCAGATGAAAGATCTAGTTTTGTAGTGCATCTTGGGGGAAGGAGGAAGGAGGAATGATTCTGACTCTCCTAGACTGTCCTCAGTTCCCCATCTTTAGATTTTTGCAAGCCTCAGAGCTGTCAGAGGGTCAAACTGCAAATCTTTCTGAGCCCCAGCCCATAGAAGGCCACAGGGAGTTGGTTTCTCTCCGAGTCCAGGGATGGGCCAGGTTAAGTCTTCCAGTGAGTGATGGGCTCTCATTCACTCACTGCAGCAGGACTGGGCTTGAGAATTCAGGAAGCAGAGGCTTGGCCCAGGAACCAAGTCATACCCTTCCCAGGGACGAACCCAGGGCTGAGCAGATGGATCCCCAGGGCTCAGAGCACAGGCCCATCTCCTCTCCAAACCACTCTTGCTCCTGCAGTTGTGGAATGGTGGAGAGAAAGAGAGGGGGTTGCAGGGTCTTTGGCACCTGTCTTGGCTCCCAGGTATATGGAAGGTGAGGGTGGAGGCCAGGGATGGCTTGAGCTCCAGTGACATGCCTGCAATTTAGTAAGGAAGGGCAGCAGCTGTCATTGAGTGGCTGTATGTTGTGATTAAAAGCTCAGGCTGTGGAGATGGCTGGCCTGCATTTAACTCCTAGCTTTGCTCCCTACTGGTTGTGACCTTGAGCAAATCATATAATCGCTCTGGGACTCAGTTTCCTCATCTATAAAATGGGTATAATGATAGCATCTACTACATGGAGTTATTTTGAAGAGTAGCTGTGCAGTGCTTATAACAATACCTAGCCATATAAAGTTAGTTGTTTTATTAAGAACTTATCATATATCAAGCCTGGGCTAAAACTTCACTTCTATTATCTCAATTAATACCCAACCAGTCTTTGGGGCAATTATGGTCATTGTTACTGTTATGATTATTCCCATTTGATGGAGGAGGAAATTATAGCACAAAGATATTAATTTGCTGAAGTCTGTGGCTTGTGGGGAGCCAAGCCAAGGTTCAGATGCTGTACTTGGATGCTGGTGCTTGTGTGTCCTATCTCCCAGGGCACCAGGAGGCTCAGGCATATCTGCCCACAAGCCTGCCATGACGCTGTCCTCATTTGGCAGAGACCAAGTTTGACTCCACACTCTTGGATGGTATCTTTGGGGGTCTTCTACCTTGGTGGTTCTTTCCCTCACCTTCAAATGATCAATTCCCACTCTCCTTTTCTATTTAAATCTTTAGGAACAGACATAACGTTCCATGGATTCAACATCAACACTTGCAGGGAAATGATCAGTCTGTTGGATGTATCCTTTAAATGTTGCATTATTTTTTTACTTTCGTCCTGTTTTTAAAGACTCCTCCACCTTTTCCAGCTAGAAGGAAGGGAAGGGTAAAAAATGAGAAGGGGAACGAGCAGGCATGGAGCATATGTCAGGGATTGTACTTGAAGCCTCAAAGGAAAAATGTATCATATCATGGATGTGCCTCAAAAAGCTTGAGATTATCTCCATTTCACAGGTGAAGAAACCGAGGTGTGTAGTGTTTAGGTGACTTATTTAAAATCATGTAATCTGGAGGTAGCAAGCATGGGGCATTTGCGTACCTCCTCCCTCCACACTCTGTTCATCTCTTCATCTTCCTCCTCCCCTTCATTTCCACCCATCCCCACCCTCACCCTCTACTGCTCCCTGCTTCCTGAGCTATCCACATCACTATCTGATCTTTGCTTCAGAATGTTAACATGGCTTGTGGACAGCCACTACTGATAGTTTAGAATTATCACACAAGATAAAACCTATTTGTTCTCCCTGATCTAATTTAACCCTCACTTGATATTGAAGTATGATGTGTTAGGCTGTTCTGGCTGCTATAACAGGAGACCATAAACTGGGTGGCTTATAAACAACAGAAATTTATTTCTTGCTGTTCTGGAGGCTGTGAAGTCCAAGATCAAGGTGCTGGTAGATTTTGTGGTGGATGAGGGCCGGTTTCCTAGTTCATAGATGGCATATTCTTGCTATAACTTCACATGATAGAAGGCATGAGGGAGTTTCCTGGTGTTCGTTTTATAAGGGCACTAATTTCATTTCTGAGGGTTCTACCCTCATGACCTAATTACCTCCCAAAGCCCCATCTCCTAATACCCTCACATGGGGATTGGGTTTCAGCATATGAATTTTGGGGGACAAACACACTCAGTCTATAGCAAATGGGCAGTAGTTTTTGGGAGGAATGGAGGTTAAGGCATTCTAGGTGGAAGGAACCTTCTAGGTGTGAAGGCACAGAGGGTGAGTGGTGTAACATCACTTCCTTAGAGCTTTGCCTACGGTGGGTCCAGGTTGCCATTCATCACAGTGCTGATGGTGAAGGTGATTTCTTTAAAAATTGAAGTCTTGGAGGGTCCTTCTCCGTTCCTTGGGGCCGCATCCATGATGAGCTCTGTTAATCCATGATGATCTTTACTGTGGGTTCTTTCATTAACTGCAGGGGAGGAAGGATTTTCCTTTGCGTGGTTGTCATGCAGTGTGGTCCTGGATGACAGAGCGTGTGTGCACACCTCTGCAGGGCTGATCTGCCATGGAGGTCTGGTGCTATCTTTTGGCTTCTGAGCTTCAGGCTGCCACTCCCTGCAAAAGGCTGGGGCTCTTTAGCCCTCGTGTCTTTTCTCCCTGCTTAACAATTTAATTTGTGGGCCACAAGGAACTGTTAAGTGTTGATTCACTTTACTGCAAATAGTTCCTTGGTTTCTGAATCACTGTCATCAAACCCTGTCTGTTGACTTCAGTTTAGATTTGAGAGTTGCCTTGTAATCTACCCATTCATTATTCCCAATGGTATTTGTGTCTTTCACGGTTCCAAGAGGAGTGTGACTCTCTGCCACTCTTCAGGAGTTTCTGTTCCACAGTTTAGGTGGTGTGGGGCAGTGGTTCTGAATCAGCAGAAATACCCATGGAATCCTTAAAAAAACAACAGCTCTATTGAGATATCATTTACATACCATACAATGCACTCATTTAAAGTATATCAGTCAATGGCTTTCGTGCATTCAGAGTTGCGCAACCATCATCACATAATTTAGAACATTGTCATTACCCTAAAAAGCAACCCTGTACTCATATTACCAGTCGCTCTCCATTTCCCCCAACCCCCACCCCCATCCCTAGGCAACCACTAATCTACTTTCTGTCTCTGTAAATTTGCCTATTGCGGACATTTCATATAATGAAATTATACAATATGTGGTCCTTTGTGATTGGCTTTTTTTACTGAACATGATGTTTCACGTACTATAGCATGTATCAGTACTTTATCACCCATGGGGTGTTAAAAATACAGTTAAAAATACAGGCTTTCACATGTCCTACAAAGTGATAGAAAACAATTATAAAAATTGGCTGAGCACAGTGGCTGATGCCTGTCATCCCGGGACTTTGGGTGGCATTGGCAGGCAGATCACTTAAGGCCAGAAGTTCGAGACCAGCCTGGAACACAGTGAAATCCCGTCTCTACTGAAAATACAAAAATTACTTGGGCATGGAGGCACATGTCTGTAATCCCAGCTACTCGGGAGGCTGAAGCACGAGAATCGCTTGAGCCTGGGAGGCAGAGGTTGCGGTGAGCGGAGGTCGCACTGCTACACTCCAGCCTGGGTGAGAAAGTGAGACTCTGTCTCAAACAACAACAACAAAGACAACAACAACAACAAACAAACAAAAACCCCTGATTCCTGGAGATCCTGATTCCATAGGTGTGGTCTCTGCAAGCAATTTTGTCTGGAATTGAAGACCACTGGTGTTCCGGGACAAAGGCTTAGAAACAGACAGGGGTCTAAATTCTGGCTCTACCACTTATTGAGGTATATAAATTTGAGGAGGTTGCTAAATGCTCTGAACTTCAGTTTCTCCTGGAAAATGGGATAATGATACCTAGCTTGTGTGGCTATTGTTAGGATGAAATGAGATACAAGTCTGTAGAGTACCTAGACCCGAGTGTTAGCTTCCTTCGCATACTACTCTTCTGAGATGTGTTGGTTGAATTATTAGTAAGGATTTGAAGGCTATGATGCATTCAACACTCAGTGCAGATTATAGATCCAATAACACCGACTTTCTTAAAGGATGAGGCTTACAAGACTTTTTGTTTGGCTAGTTAAAGGAGGTGAGAGTGATAGTCTGTTTTAGAATTCTAATGATTTGTTCAGAGATGGGGTCTTGTCATGTTGCCCAGGCTGGAGTGCAGTGGCTATTCACAGGCACGATCTGAGCTCACTGCAGCCTCAAACTCCTAGGCTCAAGCAATCCCCCTGCCTCAGCCTCCCAAGTATCTGGGGCTATTTCAAAATTTTAACATTGGTGCTGTAATGTACATACTGTTTATTGATTAGTTGTGATTGGTGAGAAAATTGCAGAGGCTCTAAGAGACTTAACTTTAGGAGCGTAAGTGCAGTTCAAAACGAAACCCCTGTTGACTAGCACAGTGTTAAAAAAACAAATAGTTGTGGCCCTTTGGGAGGCTGAGGCAGGCAGATCATTTGAGGTCAGGAGTCTAAGACCAGATGGTGAAACCATCTCTACTAAAAAAAGAAAAAAGAAAAAAAAATTAGCAGAGTGTGGTGGCGGGCGCCTGTAATCCCTGCTACTTGGGAGGCTGAGGCAGAGAATCGCTTGAACACTGGAGGCAGTGGTTGCAGTGAGCTGAGATCACACCACTGTACTCCAGCCTGGGCAATAGAGTGAGACTTTGTCTCAAAAAAAAAAAAAAAAAAAAATGTTGTTGTGGAGTAAATGTAAATTGGACACAGAAAATCCCTCATAATATCCTCCTGTTTGGTTGTGTATTGGCCTATCGGCAGATCCTGTGGCTTAGACTCCCAATCCCATGGTTCCTGGCTCCTGATGTCTTTTCCCATAATATTTTGACATTCCAATAAACTCTAATTAGCTGAATGATCAATCACAGAAATGTAAATCTAGAAGCAAATTTACAGATCATACAGCTCCACCCTATAAATAAACCAGGATGATTAGGGTATTCATGATTTTGCAGATTGGCCAGCTCATGACTTGCCCTTTTCTCCTAGCTCTGTGCTTGGCCTCAGAGGAGGGTCTTGGTGCGTGTTTAACTTTTAAATCTTTATTTGAACCTGTTACACACTGTCACCCCTACTGCTCTGCTTGCCACAGACATGGAAGGTTCACTAAGGCCTTAAGGCACTCGTGCAAGCTCACAAGAGAAAGAAATCCTTAAGGCATGTAGAATTTGGACTCAATCATGTTGGTCTTTAACGTGCCTAGAGCAATGGAACGGGCACTTTGGGGCTGGTGGAATTCAAGACGCTCTGGCTGAAGATTCAGAAGTATCTGGTAACTCTTCTCTTCCTTTTGGGCATCCTCTCTTCTGTTCTAATCCTCACTTACACTCATTCCTGGTCCATCATAGTCTGACCACATCCTTAATCATGGTCAAAACTATTGAGACCTGGGCACATTGGTCATGAAGGAACACGAAGGCAATGAGAGACTCTCATGCCAACCACTGCCCTGAAAGCCCTGCTGTTCAGACAGCAGAGGGGCCAGCATTGGCCAAGCTCTTATCTTTGCTCTGAAACCTTCTTGGGAGGAGTCAATAGGGTCTCTTTTTGAATGTGTCCCTGGCCTTTTGAGGAAGCAGTGTGGTGGAGGGAGATGATTCTGGTAGGGACTGTGAATGGCTGTTTTCTATTTGGGATTTCTTTCCTGCTTTAGGAGATCTATCGGGAAACTGATTATAACCACTCGGGCACCATTGATGCCCACGAGATGAGGACAGCCCTCAGGAAGGCAGGTGAGGACACATCCCGTAGACAGGGTCTTGGGATCCAGGTGTGCACATTGTAAATATTTATTCTCATGATGATGATTGCTAATGATCATCATTTGTAGCTATCTTATATGGGATATCAAGGCAACAACAGAGCTTTGTTGAGTATCTTCTCTGTCCAGGAAAGGGAGAATATTGCTGGATTCCATATAGCATAATATTTTAGAATTTTTCCAAGATATCTGCCTGTTACTGGGAAGGTGACAGCAATTACAGAGGATGGGGCTATGAAGGAGACAGAGAGGAACTGGCCAGACAGGCAGCTGCCTCACCTTCTCTGCTTTCGCTTGCTGATGTCACCCATGGCTGAGTTGGTGCTGGTGCTAGTGCTGGACGTGGAATGAGGCTGAACCTGATGAGGAGTGGCTACAAGGAAAGGGATGGATGGCAGGACGCCTTCTGGGATCCCCTGGAGAAGGCAGAGTCAGACCTGGGTTGCAGATTGATACAGAACCACAGAGGGGCCCCTGCGATGTCAGCTCCTTGAGTGTTTATGGGAGACGGTGCTGAGTCCTCCACTCCACCCGTGACCCAGGCCCCCTCTTCCCTCAGGTTTCACCCTCAATAGCCAGGTGCAGCAGACCATTGCCCTGCGGTACGCGTGCAGCAAGCTCGGCATCAACTTTGACAGCTTCGTGGCTTGTATGATCCGCCTGGAGACCCTCTTCAGTGAGTCACTCTGTCCTCCAGCGCCATCCTACTAATCCCAAGGTGCAAGGTGGGGCAGGGGCAGGACCAAGGGGCAGAACCAGACATTGCCTTTAGGAGGCCAGGGGCCCAGAAAATGATAGACAGGATTTCTGTAATGCTGGCATCTTGGGGGTGAGAGGCAACTGGACCTGAAGGGGCTGAGGAAGTCCAGCCTGGCCAGATCCAGGACGGAGGCTGCCTGTTTTTGGAGACTTACAAAACTGCCATCCAGACTATCATGTATCTACAGTGTGCAGTCACTAGGCCAAGATGAATGAGTCCCAGTAACTGTTCTTAGATGGCTTCTAATGTCTATTTATATTTGTTTTTCAATACGGATCATATTGAGAGCATTCCTCCCAGTGAAGGGATGGAGGGGTCCCTCTGGAAGGCAATAGGCATTTTCCTGCCGTATTGGGCCTTGAGATTAGATATCTTATTAGGGAAGGATTTTTTCCTTGCACTGAGGTTTGGTAGGTGTTATGTTCTAGTGAGTCAAAGTCAGTTAGCCAGAGACAATGCTAAGGGGCTGGATTACCCACAAGCAAGACAACCACCATCTGTCTGACAACACTGCACCTTGATAAAGTAATTGCACATTTCTGATATAAAGCTTCTGAGGATGGAGATGCCAAAGGGACCATCTCTGCTGGCAACGGGGTTTGTCTGTTTTGGCAGGGGGGCATCTGATCCCCCAAAAGCTCATTGTGTGCCCTGGATCTAGCTTTTTGAGGTCCCTGGGGCTAGGTGGGGACTGGAAGGGAAGGGGTTGTAAGGGAAAAGGGAGTTCCCCAGGTGGGGATGGGGCAGACAGAGGCAGCTCTCTGACAGTTCCCAAGTCCAGGAACAGCTTTATCTAATTTCATTCCTTCTCTGGTGTTTTAGAACTGTTCAGCCTTCTGGACAAAGACAAAGATGGCGTGGTGCAGCTCTCTCTGGCTGAGGTAAGTGTCCTGAGGTTTGATGAATTGCTGGCTGAAATTCTTGGACCACGTAGTTGCCGAGTGGTGCTTATTCCTGTTGACTGTCTTAGTTCCATGTGAATACCGTGCACATTCTGTGGCAGGCACTGGGGGGAGGAAGGCAACTGTTATACAGTTTTCCAAACATTTTTGTTTATTATTATTATCATTGTAATGATAAAGCTACAGCTACATTTCAGATAATTTCAGAGATGCAAGCCCTTGTTAATTTGGATGGAACTGTGGGTGGTGGGCACAATATAAAGTGTCTGGCTTCTAGGACCAGCTGTCTTAGAGGGACCCATGGAAGGATATAGGAAACAAAAATGAAATTGCAACAGGTAGAATGAAGATGCAAAATGAATGGGTGTTTTTACTGTGTACAAGCCACACAATGTTTTTGCAGAAAAAATCAGAGTACTTCCCCTGTGGACACTGCACCCCTGTATGGCAGAGGCCTTTACTGGCCAGAGGGGACAGCAGGAAGTGTGGAGATGTCTCTAGGGTCCAGGCAGGGGAAGGCATTGGCCTTTGACTTGCTTCTGAGGCGGTGGAACTAGAGCACCAGGTTATTACTGGCTGTGCCCAGTTGTCCATGCCCATCCACTTTCTTTTCTTCTCTAAAGTGGGAGTGCCATTGACCTCTTTCCTGTAGCCCAGGAAAGGCCTTCCTAGAAATAGACCTGTGGATTCTTACAGATACCTGGACAATATAGTGTGGAACCTAAAATGGAGTGTGGTTGCGTGGGTGCATAAAATATACATATATACACATACACACACAAATATACATATATAGGAATATATAGATACATATAGAAACAAATACATATATAGGAAAAGATATATACACATATATAGGAATCTATAGGGATATATAGACACATTTTTTGTGTATATATGTGTGTATATATTAGTATACACTATTGTGTGTGTATATGTGTGTGTGTATGAATATACATGCACATACCTATTTTTGGAGCTCCCTTTGGGTCTAGAACTTTTTCTGAGTCACGTTTCTGTAGTGCCCTTGTTCAGGAGTTAGTGACGTAGTGAAGGCCTTCCTTGCTTCCCATGTTTGAGCAAGGCACTTACTGGAGAATGGAGATAAAAAGTTCATTGCCATGTGAGGCAGGAGAGCATTGATGGTGAAAGCACCCCAGCCCCTGAAAAGCCAAGAACTCAATCTCATCCTTTTCCTTTGCAGTGGCTGTGCTGCGTCTTGGTCTGACCTGGGGTTTCGGACATCAGTGACACTCCCTGCCCCACTGCTTGCCTCTTGTCACCCCTTCTCTACAATTTTATGAACATTTATGCTCCAGTGGCATTCACTGGTTGTTCATACCTTTTTTGCCCTGGGTCTCTTTCAGCAGCACTGAGCTATGAGCTATGTAAGCCGACCCAGTGGGCCCAGTGGAGGGAAAGCAATCAATTAAAGTTGTGAGCCAGAATGGTTTCCGCCTTTCTCTCGTGATATGCTATCTGGGCTGTATCCTGGGCTTTTTATCCTTTAGGGAAGAAAATGTTCTCGGGAAATGGCACAATACAAAACTGCTGAAAGATACAAAATGTAGGTTAATTTCTCAGAGGAGAGGTCTTCTGTGGACCCAGAGGCATCCGGAGGCCACCTTCAGGAAAGGAGCCCAGGAAGGGAGCAGGGATGGGATGCTGGGAGAACAGGGCTTTCTTCCTTATTTGCAGACACAGGAGGCTGCTGGACTGTACTGAGGAAAATTCTTACCTGGCAAATAGCTAGAGGGGAAAGGCAGTTCAGGTTAGTTTTGCTCACAGCTGAATGCTGGCATCTTTGTTGTTGGTAAGAAAATAGATGGCACAGCCATGGTGTCCTAAGGGAGGAATGGGGACAGGGCTGGTTGTTCTATGCAGACACAAAATATCAAGGAGAACACACACACACACACACACACGCATGCACACACACACACGCCTTGGCCCTGGATCAGTCTGATTGATTATGGATTAATTTTCTCTTTCTGGAAGTAGATGTAGATGAATGTTCCTTATAGGAATATGACTCCTAAGTACAGCAAGCACTAGTTGGCTTCAATGCTGCCTTTGAGTCTCCCAAGACCCAGTCGGGAGGAAGGGGCAGGCCCTTCACCGAAGAGAGGAGCTTTTACAAGCTCTGGGCCCTCACTGATCAGGGAGGGGCTGTGCCATCACACCACTGCAGGGACGGCTCTGTTAATGTGATGGGAGAGAAAGAGATATAGTTGTTTTAGCAGCCTGCGGGTCCCAGAAGAAAAGGGGTCCTTCCTCGTCCAGTCAGGGATAAGACAGAGACGCTTCGGCAGCAGGACTCAGCAGGTGTGTGCCTGGCCATGCTCCGTCTGCCTGGAGAGGCCATGCAGCCTGCTCCTGTGCCCAGCTGGTGTGATTCTCATGCTCATCGACATGCCAACCAGGAACAAGTCTTTGTTCTACCCACTGTAGAGGACCACAACCAATTCTCCCTAAGTAGAAAGTGCTATGTTATAATCAACTTGCAACAGGTAGCTTTATTTTGAAGCCCTGCAGGGTTCAACAACTTGAGGGAATAGTCTGGTAATAAATAAAATACTGTCTCATTACAAAACATCCTTTGCTTTCAGGGTCCTGGGTCTGAGGTAAGGACTGTCCTGGGGACTCCTTACCAATACAGCCCAAGAAGCAGGTTAAAGATCCTAGCACTACACTTTCCCTCTCAAACGCATGAGAGTGTGCCTTTTGCTTCCTTCTCCCCAAAGATGAAGGCTGTGGGAGATGATGCTTTTGGTCATGGCCTTGTCCTTGCCCCTAGATATGGCTGCATCTCAGGAAAGCTCAGTGTCTCCTGGAATCCACAGCACCCACAATGCCCTGCACTTCCCCTCCGGGAGCTGGCACCACACTTTATTGCATTAACATGGTGACTTGCTTGTCTTCCCCACTCCAGTTGGATAGTCTGTGGATGCAGAGATGGAGTTTTCCTTGTTCCCTCAAAACCTAGAACAATGCCTGGTGCTTAATGAATGTGAACTCTGTCTTTCCCTTTGCAGAAGAGGAGGCTCTGTAGACTGCAGAGCCGGTGCCTCTCTGTGTTTTCCCAGCAGAGAGGCTGTGTTTGCACTGGTCCCTCACAGATGACACAGCAGCGCCTGACAGCAGAAGCCCCAGTGGGGACTGCCATTGATGTGCAGATTCATCAAAGCTGGGTCTCTGTTGGCAGGGAGGTGCTGGGAGTTGAAAGGCTATGGAGCTCTGGGAGGAGATGTGGCCCCTGCAGGGACTCCTGCTGAGCCAGTCCCTCCCCAAACTTCTCCCCACCCTGACAATGCCAGGAGGAGAGAAAGCCATGGCTGCCTCCCACGTCAGGGGTCTTTGATTTGTTCAGAGAACCCCAGGGAGCTCTGATTCCCCCAGTGGGAGTAGGGGTGGGGTGAAGTCAGCCTGGAGTCACAGGGGTCTTCCTCTGTTGCACTCCCACCCTCCTTAGCCTTCAGAGTCAATTCGTGTCACCTCTTAAAGGCACAGTTTGTTTCCTTATTAGTAAATAGGAAGAAACACAAGCACCATCAACTCCCAGACTCAACTGAGACCTTCTGGAACACGGAAGCTGACATTTCGGTGAAAGGTGTTTGGGGTGTCCGAAATATTCTAGGTAATTCCACCACCACAAGACCATCTTCAGTGAGCTCCCGTTTCCTGCTGAGAGTTGTGGATTAGCTTTCTCCTCACATCCACCTGCCCAGGCAGGACTTTTTGTAATTATGCACAATCACAGAAGCAGCTTGGAGCAGGGCTGGGAGAGCCAGGCAGACAGCCCATCCGCAGGCAACAGGAGGCTCTTCCTGGCCAAGGTCCTGACAACAGCCGTGTCTCAGCAGCCCGGCTCTGCGGGGTTATGCACAAGGGCCCAGCACAACTGGCGGACAGGCTCCCCGCCCGCCTGGGTGGTCTCTGTCTGCCTCATTGACTGGCTTCTCTCTCATACCAGCTGTTATTCTGAGTCAGGGCAGGCTCAGCCCGCCAGCTTCTCCGATGTCCAGCATCTCTGCAGCTTTGGATGTTCTAATTCCCTCTGAGCCCCAGCCCCTGTCATTGCTTCTAGCTCTGGCTCTGGGATGTGGCAGTTCCACCACACCCTAACCTACCTCTTTTCTGCTCTCCTCTCAGTCTCCCAACCATGTCTTCCATCCATATGTTAACCCTTTCCTTCAATTTACGCATGAGGTTGGCTGACCTTGGGAGTTGACATCATTGATGGTGAATAACCAAGACGCCCACTGACCTCTCTACTTCAGAAAAGATAGCATCAGAAAGAACCCACTTAGAGATGGACCCCGCTGCCACCTTTTCACTTTCTCTCTCTCTTTTTTTTTGAGACAAGCTCTCGCTTTGTCACCCAGGCTGTAGTGCAGTGGCGTGAGCTCAGCTCACTGCAGTCTCTACCTTCTGGGCTCAAGTGATTCTCCTGCCTCAGCCTCCTGAGTAGCTGGGACTACAGGCATGCACCACCACACCCAGCTAATTTTTTGTATTTTTGGTAGAGATGGGGTTTCACCACGTTACCCAGGCAGGTCTTGACCTCTGGGACTCAAGCAATCTGCCCACCTCAGCCTCCCAAAGTGCTGAGATTACAGGTATGAGCTACCACGCCTGGCATAGGTTGTAAGTGGTGTGACTATAGAGGCCATCTATGTGTTACAATAAGTGCTATGGCCTGAAGGTTTGTCCTAGGTAACCCAGTCCTGAATTCATACATTAAATTCTAACCCCCACTGTGAGGGTGTTTGGAGATGGGGTCTTCGGGAGGTAATTAGGTCATGAGAGTGGAGTCCTCATGAATGGGATTAGTGCCCTTCTAGAAGGCACAGGAGAGCTTCCTAGTCCCTTCCACCCTTCCAGGACATAGTGAGAAGACAGCCCTCTATGAACCAGGAAGGGGCCCTCACAGACACCAGATCTGCCAGTGCTTTGATCTTGGGCTTCTCAGCCTTCAAAACTATGAGAAACAAATTTCTGTTGTTTATAAGGCACCCAGTTTACAGTATTTTGTTGCAGCAGCCAGAACAGACTAAGACAACAAGGATGAAGAGACGCATCCTGGATATCCTCTGCCAGGAATCCGGTCTGATGTGTGGCACTCCATGCCCGAGCTTATTCCATTGGCTTTGGTCTTTGGAAAAGACAATGTTAGTCACTTACTAGTGGCAGTTGCACGGAGAAGGAGGGCTCACTAATGGGGGACAGGGTGATCATTTGGAGTTTGCAAGCTGTGAAGACAGATGTTGGCTCTTCACAATTTTGGAAGGGTTCACCAGTTAAGTGTAGGACCTTATGGGGAATGGAAATAAGGCAGAGGCATGGTTCTGGTCACTGAGTTCCTTAAGGTCTGCTGAAGGCTGCTGATGCATCTCTCACTCCCTCATTATGCTTTGGAGCAGAGCCAGGGGCTGGAGGAATGTGGGGTGATCCTTTCATTAACCACCATCTGTTGACACTTTTATTTTTCTTTGTGAAAACATTTATATTTATATCTTTATATTTAACATTTTTATTTCTATATAAATCATTTTGTTTATTATGTACTTGTCAAATTATATACAAATTTATATATTTATTTATGTATTTAGATATTATTTATTTATTTGAGACATGGTCTTGCTCTGTTGCCCAGAGCTGGAGTGCAGTGATATGATCTTGGCTCACTGCAACTTAGACCTTCTGGGCTCAAGTGATCCTCCCACCTCAGCCTCCCAAGTAGCTGGGACTGACTACAGGCATGCGCCATCACGCCCAACTACTTAAGAAATTGTTTGTAAAGACACAGTCTTGCTGTGTTACCCAGGCTAGTTTCCATCTCTTGGCCTCAAGTGATCCTCCTGCCTTGGCCTCTCAAAGTGCTAGGATTACAGGTATGAGCCACTGCGTCTGGCCCAAATATTACTTATATTATACAAATCTAATATAAGTAAAAGTAAAAGAACAGTATATTGAAGCCCCATCATTATGAATTAGGACAGAGCGAGACTCCATCTCAAAAAAAAAGATATTAATATTTTATCATACCTATTTTGTCATTTTTTGCTGAAGTAAATCAGAGATACCATGACATTTTACCCTTCATTATGGATGTCTAGGAAAGGACATTTTATGACACAACCACAGCACCATTCTCCAGCTAAACAAAATTCACAAGAATTCTTTAATCACATCGAATAACCAATTTATATTCAAATTTCCTTGATTGGTTTCAAAATATACTCATAGTTGGTTTATTTGGATGACTCAAAGAAGACCCCTAGCTTGCACCTTTTAATCTAGAGCAATCTAGATTGAGTGATTAACAAATAATTGGACCTTTAAAAAGGGGCTCTGGCAATATGAATGTGCTTTACATGTTTCTCAGTCTAATTAAATCTCACGCGAAGTTCCCATTCTACCCAGCTTCCTCCCTCTCCCCAGGGCTACACAGAATGGTTTACAGGGGCAGCAAAATGGGAAAAGGGTGTCTAATTTTCCCTCCGCCGTGGTTGCTGTCGAAGCCTGCTTGTTCTTGGAGGTGCCATCTCCTGCTTCGGCCCCGTGGGCTCCAACACTAACTGGGCTGGGAGCCACTGCCTGGGTGTGGGAACGAGTCTCTGCTGTGGGAATCTTTTTCCTGGACTCTAAGAATCCCCCTTTCCTCTGAATCTTTCCTCCCTGACTACTCCTGACTCCCTTCCAGAGCTTCAGCTTTGAAAGAAGAAAAATCACAAAGGCATTCTCCTCGGGCTGCTTCTCTTGGTCACGTTGTCCCCAGAGGCCAGAGAGCACACAGCTTGACCACCCGCTGACTTGACCGCAGAGGGAAGGAAGCTTGAGTCCTTTGTGAATTATGCTGCCCATTAAAGAAGCAGCTCACTGGTGGAGAGAGGAGAAGAAGAGAAAGTTTACAGTCCCTGAAAAGGCTCCCCTGGGCTGAAATTTCATTTCATTGATTCATTCACTATTAAAACATTTGATTTCTACCACCCCTTCCCTCTTCAAAAAGATGTCTACGGATTTCCTCGACTGTCATCTTCCTTTCCCTGTGCCTCAGTTTCCTTACTGGTAAAATGAGATAGTAATAGATATATACCTTATAGGATTGTTGTTAGGATTAGTGAGACACTGTACAAAGGCATGCAGAAAGTGCCCATTCCCCAGGAGATACGCCATAAATATCAGTGATTATTATTATTGCTTTTGTAGTTATTGTTAGAAGCAGAATTCAGGTCTCTTTAGCATCTATTGAGCCTTGTCTGCTGGGCTTCCCTTTGGTCCTGATCAATTTTCAATATAAGACAGAGGATCTTGAGGTTCAGCGATACTCTCAGAGTTGTACTATCAAGTGTTCCTGTTGGCCTGTGGGGGCAGGGCTGTGCTAATCCTGGCCTGTCTGAGGCTCTGAAGATGCCAGGCTCAGGGGAAGGGCATTGCCAAAGAGAATCAGCTTCTCAATTTCCACGGAAGGGAATAGTTCTGTTAGTAAAAACAGAGGAAAGCAGATGGAAACTCGCCGGGATTTTAGAAGGTTCTGCAGTTCTGTGTATATTATAAGCCTTCAATTTAGGCATGTTGAATTGAATTCAGTTCAACAAGGAAGAGAGGATTAGGAGATGAGAGGCATGATCTGGTGATGAAATTCAAGCCAAAAATCATCCCGCAGTCAAAATTATCCTGTGTATGCTCTGGAAGGGATTGCTGGGGAGTCTGTTCCAGAATTTCATGGATACTAATGAGTGGATTTGCACAGTGGATTTACCCAGCAGGCATGGGCTGCTCCTGCTTGGCTCTTCAGCTTCTCCTGGCTACCTGAAATGGGAACCCCCACCACCCTGAGGGGAGCGGACAGTCTCTCAGGTGATTGAGTCACTGTCTTTAATTCTGCTCAGTAATTCTGTCAATAAACATTTCCTAAGCACCAACTACATGTCAGGCTCAGTGTTTGCACGGAGAGTTTCTGAAAAGAGATGCAAAGATGAATAAGACAAGTTCTTGCCCCCAGTAAGCTTGCCATTGAATGGAGAAGACAGGTCCGTATACAGGTGGTAGTAATTTGAAAAGGCATCGCGTAAGTGCTATAGGAGACATACAGAAAAATCAAGCCAGCCAAAAGGAGAGAGAGGTTAATGCTGACTCAGGAAACAAAGCAGGCTTCATGCAAGATGGGTAGAAATTTGACAGGTAGAATTTCACTCATTCATCCAGTAAATATTTATTAAGCATCAGCTATAGTCTAGGTACTGTGTGAGGCCCCGGGAAAGGAGAGGGAAAGGTATTCCAGACAGAGGGAACAGCATGAGAGAAGGCAAGAGGATGGGATAAACTGGAGCTTGCCTGGGGAAGCCCACAGTCTTCTGGAGGAGATTGAGCTTCACCTTGTCTTTGAGACTGTCACTGCAGCCCCAACAGGACAGCCAGGGCCAGGAAGCAGTCGTCTTCCTTGCTTAGTCCTGTCTTCTGTTCCATGAACCTGTCTGTGTTACCAATGTGATAATTTTCCTTTCTATTTCAGAGAAATAATTTCAGGCTACTTCCCAGAGAGAGGAAAATCTTTGGACTCTCCAAGATTCAGGTTGCATGGTAACATCTACCCCATCCATTCCCTGGGCTGGAAGGGCCCTGAGAGCTCTTTGGGCAGCAAGAGACACCTTCTATGGCTGCTGCCTAGCAGTGGCTCAGAGCACCTTGATATGCAGCCAGCTTGTGGCCTTTGTAGCTATATCCTCACCGCTGAGGGTGAAGAAGGGAGTGCCAACCCTCAGAACCATAGAGGCCAGGTGGCATCCTTTACGGCGGATGTCCCTGGGTGAGCCCGAGATGCTTCCCTGGAGCTGGAAAGCAATCCAGATGCAAGGCTGATGGAACGCAGTTGGCTCCCACTTCCACCTGCATTCTTGAAACATTTACTACTAATTAATTTCTGAATTACACAACAATGCACTTCCTAATTACACAGGGGAAGCACCAGCAGCTATAACAGGGTTGTTATCTATTGCACAAGTGATTCTATTAGATGCTGTATCAGAAAGGAGAGGAGGGAGGAAGGGAGGGGAAAGGAAGAGAGAAAGGAAGAGAGAGAGAGAGGGAGATGAACAGATTGAGACTGAGAAGAAAAGCCTGGCTGATAATGCTTTCTAGTCTCAGGAGGGAGGCTGGCTGACTTGGGACCTCAGCATCCCTTCCAAGAGATGTGCAGCTTAGAGAGAAAAGGCTTCCTCAAAAACTCTGACAACTGTGCAAATATCAACACAGAAATATAAATAATAACATGCAGACTTCATGAAACATAATTATGGCCCAACATTATGAGGAAAGAGACTCACCGGAGACTGGCCATATTTCTTTTTATCTGAAGGTTTGGTTTTGCATGGGGGTGATTAAAGCAAAGACTCTGGTTTCTTTCTGTCTCTCTCTTTTTTCTTTTTTTGGTTTTTACTGCCATATGGATTTTTAAAATATTTATGTCAGGTTGGACTGTTCATTAAAATGAGTGGCTTTCATATCCTGTTGAAATATCTGGGTTGTCAAATGTTTATTAGGCTCATTGAATGTTACCGAGCAGCTACTATGAGTGGGGCAAGGGTGAAGTATGCAGGGCAGTAGGGCTACAGATATGAATAACATATGGCCCTGCCTTTGGGTGCGTCGCCAGTCTGAAGAGATGGACAGGTGTAAAAACAAGCAGCTTCAAAATGAGATGATAGGAGCAATGGTGGGGACAGGTGTAGGGAGTGGTGAGGGTACAGGGAAGCACGAGCTTCATGTTGGGGTTCAGAAGAGGGTCTGTGGAACAGAGGAGAGTGTGAAACAAGAGTTGCCTCCAATGGAGGCTGGATTGGGAGGGCCAGGGAGCCCTTGCCCATCCTCTGTGCCTGCGTTACAGGTATGAGGCCAGGCAGGAAGGCTGTAGGCACAGGTGCTTATCCTGAATGGTGGCTTGTATCTGCCATGTCCATCCATTGGGAGACTAAAACTGCACCAGTTATTTGGACAGAAAGAATTTAATGCAACAAATTGTCAAGAAAGTATAACATTGTAACTAGTAACTGAATGGATAAAAAGAGTACTTCAGGCTGGGCACAATGGCACATACCTGTGATTCCAGCACTTTGGGAAGCCAAGACAAGCAGATCACTTGAGGCCAGGAACTCGAGACCAGCCTGGCCAACATGGGGAACCCCATCTCTTCTAAAAATACAAAAATTAGACGTGGTGGCATGCGCCTGTCTCAGGAAGCTGAGGCAGGAGGATCACTTGAACCCGGGAGGCAGAGGTTGTAGTGAGTCAAGGTCGCACCACTACACTCCAGCCTGGGTGACAGAGCAAGACTCCGTCTCAAAAAAGAAAAAAAAATAAAGCACTTCAGGGTGTCACGGAGTTAACAACTGTAGGAGGAAGCCACTGCCTGTGGGGCTGAGTGAACAAAGGGATGAGGTCGGAATTATTAAAACTTTAAAAAGAGACCCTGTCAAGCTGAAACTCAGACCTCTGATGAGTTGGTGTCTTGGGGAGGACCAAGCTATGCCACGAGGGGAAGGCTGATTCTACAAATACAGGAGAAACTGCAAAGTGGATTCAACTGCTGCTTGCGCCCTCTATTGGCAGAACCTGGCATGGAACGAGGGGCAACTCATCACAGCTGCCATAGAAGGTGGCATCATCCCGTAGGCTGCAGTCAGTCATTCTACATAGATGTTTGAGCACCCACAAGATGTCAGGGACTTTTCTAGTCCTCGGGACACACCGGTGAACAAAAAAGACAAATATCCTTGTCTTTAGGGACTAACATCCTAATTTAGGGAAACAGAAAATAATCAAATACATGAGTAAATTATGTAGTATCGACAGCATCTTGTAAGAAGAGAAATAAAGCAGAGGGTGGGGAGAGGATAAGGAGAGGAGGTGTGTGTGTAGAGAAGGGGTAAGGGTTCAACTGTAAATTGAACGGTCTGAAAAGGTCTCTCTGAGAATATGGCCTTTGAGTAAAGACCTGAAAAACGTAGAGGAATATGCTGGGTGGATATTCAGGAGGAGAGCAGGTAAGGAGAGGAAGCACAGGAACACAGACATGAGAAGTTTAGAAACAGCTGGGAGAGAGATGGAGGGAGAGAGCAGGAGCTGTGTTATGTCAGGCCTTTAGGTCATTTGAACAACTTTGGATTTTACTCTAGTGAGATGGGAAGTTGCTATGGTTTGAATGATGGTGTACCATCTAAAATTCATGTTGAAACTTACTCCCCATTTTGATAGTATTAAGAGATGGGGCCTTTTTGGAAAGTGATTAAGTGATGCTCTGCCTGCATGAATGGATTAGTGCCTATAAAATGATAGGAGGGAACTAACTCAAGTGTCCTTTCTGCCCTTCTGCTATGTGAGGACATAGCAAGAGGGCCCTGACAAGACAACAAACCTGCCCAGGGCCTTGATCTTGGATTTCCCAGCCTCCAGAACTATGAGAAGTAAATTTCCATTATATATAAAATATCATCTCAGGTATTTTGTTATAGCAGAACAAACAGACTAAGACAAAAGTCACTCAGAGTTTGAACTAAAGAGTGACTAGGCCCTGCCTGCATTTTATTAGGACCTTTCTGGCTGTTGAGTGGAGAGGTGATTTTTAGGAGCAGCAGTGAAACTGCCAGGAGGCTGTGGCCACGCACAGGTGAGAGGGGACAGAGGCATGGGCCAGTCTGGCTGCAGCAGACATTGTGAGGAAGAATTGGATTCTGGACACATTTGCAAAGAGAGTTTATAAGCTTTGTGGTTCTGTTAAATATGCAGTAGAAACAGAGGGAGGAGTTGACAACGATGACAGTGTTTTTGGCTGGAACCAATGAAGGATGGAGGTTATATTAATGGAAGTTTTTATTTCTTTATAATATTTCAACCATCTGTGAACCCTAAATATGTGAGACAGGTCTAAGTCAATTTAGAAAGTTTATTTTGCCAAAGTTAAGGATGCATGCCCTTGGCACAGCCTCAGGAGATCCTGATGACATGTGCCCAAGGTGGTTGGGGCACAGCTTGGTTTTATACATTTTAGGGAGACATGAGGCATCAATGAATATATGTAAGATGAACATTGGTTTGGTCCAGAAATGCAGAACAACTTGAAGTGGGTAGGGGAGCTTCCAGGTCATGAGTAGATAAAAGATGAACAGTTGCATTCTTTTGAGTTTCTGATTAGCCTTTCAAAAGGAGGCAATCAGATATGCACTTACCTCAGTGAGCAGAGAGATGATTTTGAGTTCTCTCTTTCCTTTGTCCATAAGGAAATTCCTTGTGAGGTAGGTATATAGCTTTTTAATCTTAGTAGCTATCTTTTTAGGGAATAGAATGAGAGGCAGGTTTGCCCTTCCCAGCTTGACTTTTCCCTTTGGCTTAGTGATTTTGGGGTCCCAAGATTTATTTTCCTTTCACATATCTATGATTTTAAAGTGATGAAAAAAGATTTTGTTTTATTTCATTAGGACAGGATTAATCTGAAGAGAGCAAAGTCATAATGATCTGAGGTATATAAATCTTCTTTTTGAATAACTCAGAAGAGACTACAGTCATACCACCTTGAATGCATCTTTTTTTATTTTTTTTATTTTTTTAGTCAGGGTCTCACTCTGTCACCCAGGCTGGAGTCCAGAGGAGCAATCTCTCTCTGCACTGGAAACTCTGCCTCCCAGGTTCAAGCAATTCTTGTGCCTCAGCCTCCCGAGTAGCTGGGAGTACAGGTGCGTGACACTTCACCTGGCTAATATTTTGCATTTTTTTTTTTAAAGTAACGATGGGCTTTCGCCATGTTGGCCAAGCTGGTCTTGAACTCCTGACCTCAAGTGATCCACCTGCCTCGGCCTCCCAAAGTGCTGGGATTATAGCGTGAGCATCTGATCTTTTCTGAATAACTCAGAATATTCGCATGTTGTTTTTCTCAACACTCCTATGCCTCTCACAGAAGTAGAAATTCTTATTTCCCACATAGGCCCTGGGAGTTGAAGCAACTTTGTATACTCTGGGGCTCCACTTTCTCATTGTCCCATCCCTCCTAGATTTCTTTTTTTGACTCTGATTACCTATGGGTGGCTTCGCCATCTTTAGCTGTCAAGGACTTGTCTGTGCTGTCTGTCATCAGCTCTGCATTCCCTTGGGTTTCCTTCTCAGTCTCCTTCTCACACTCCCTGACGCTGTCAACTCGCAAATCCCCACCTCTTCTTCAGCCCAAATATCTCTGACTTGGTCTTGGGTTTCCATCTGTCTTCTGGGGATTTCCACGAAGTTGTCTTCAGGATATCTGAGATTCTCCATGTCCCCAAGTGAACTCACTCTTCTTCCTTTGTACCTCTTTTTTCTCCCCAGGTCCTTGATGCCACTTAATGTTACCACATAGCTATCTGGGCTACAAAACTCATTCTTTTTTCACTTCTTCCTCTTCCTCATCCTTATGGCTAATCCATCGCTGATTCTTGTCAGTTCTCTTTTTATTCTGTTCTGCTTTCCTCTATCCTCCCCACAAGTGGAATTCAGGCTGTTACTCTGTCTCTCCTGACCTGCTCATGTGCAGAGACCTCCTAACAAATCCTTCTTTTTTCAAACTCTTGCTTCTGTGTCTCCTGTATTAGAAGTTGCTTCCTACAGCACCAGGTGCATCATTTCTTCTCTTCTCAAAACCTTCAGTGGTGTCCTGTTGCCAACAGAACGAACATCAGACTCCTTAGGAGAGTGCTCAAGACCCCTCTTGAATGGGTCCCAAGCCATTTTTCCAGACTGTTCTCCAGCTTCATTGCTGTGTTTTAATCACCCAGGATAAAACTTGGTATTAACAAAAGTCACCAATGTGCTGCTATGGTTTGAATGTGTCCCTGCAAATTCATGTACTGGAAACTTGATCCCCAATGCAACAGTGTTGGGAGGTGGCTCCTAATGGGAGGTGTTAATGGCAGAGCCCTCATGAATGGATTTGTTACTCAAAAAACTGGAGTCCATTTGCCTGGCAAGTACCAAATGGCTCTCCACGAGAATGCAGGTTTTGGTCAATAGGAATTTAATTATTTGTCACAGGTAGGAAGAGGATTTTCCAAAGCAGTGCTTCCAAGGGAAAGTGACAGGAGGGTTTAATGGGGCGATGGAGAGGGGAGAAGATGCATCATCATATGTAGAGGAGAGTCTCACTGGAGTAGGTGCAGTGAGTTATCATGCTGGCACTAAGCCGTATGTTATGATAATGAAACTATACATCCTCCTGCGGTGTAGACTTTAGTATGGTAATGAAGAAAGTTTACTCCAATTCATCTGTAAGTCGCTGGTCTCTGTCAGGAGCTGGTTTCAGCTGACTAGGAGACCACATTCCACACAGGGCTTGAAAACATCAGGCTATAAGACAGGAAGCTGTAAAGCAGGTGGATTGCTCAAACTAGATGAATTTCTGTGATCCCTGAAGACCCTCCCTATCTGCTTACAGATTGTCATTATCTTGGGAGTGAGTTTGTTACAAAAATGAGGTAAGCCTCCTCTTGTCCTTTCTGGTACACTCTTTCACCATGTGATGTCTTCTGCCATGTTATGACACAACATGGCAAGAAGGTTCTAACAAGATGCAGACGCTTGATCTTGGACTTCTCAGCCTCCAGAACCATAAGAAATAAATCTCTCTTCTTTACAAATTACCTAGTCTTAGGTATTTTGTTATAGCAGCACAAAATGGACTAAGACACGTACCCACACCCTTGCTGGGACTAATCCTTCAACCTGTGCCCTCCTTTCCTCCTTCTTCATCCTCTACAAATTATCTATCCACACTGCCAACATCACCTTTATAGCAGAGCAGAATATGCAATCCCAAAATATGCCTCTGTGGCACGAGGATTATTTTAAGATTCAGCAGCCATAGGAGAAG